ACATTAAAAGCAAGAAGAGCTTGGGGAGAGATATTCCAGGCACTGAATGAAAATAATTTCAACCCAAGGATACTCTACCCAGCAAAACTATCATTCAAAAAAGATGGAGCAATAAAAGTCTGCCATAAGCAGAAACTAAAACAATATGTGACCACAAAGCCACCACTACAAAAGATTCTGCAAGGGATTCTGCACATAAGAAAGTGAAACACAACATAACCATGACAGGACAGGCAGCACCAAACTTCAGGAAAAGAAAAAGAAAAAAAGTAGAGAGTAACATCAAGTTAGGTACACACAATCAAACCTTCAAACAACTAAGACAACTAAATGACAGGAATCACCATATACCTATCAGTACTAACACTTAATGTTAATGGACTTAATTCCCCCATCAAAAGGCACCCTTTGATTAAATGGATAAAAAAGGAAGATCCAACAATTTGTTGCTTACAGGAGACCCATCTCACCGACAGAAATAAGCATAGGCTTAAGATGAAAGGCTGGAAGAAGATTTACCAAGCAAATGGCCCCTAAAAACAGGCAGAAAGCAATACTTATCTCTGACAAAGTAGACTTCAAACCTACATTGATCAATCAAGATAAAGAAGGACATTCCATACTAATAAAAGGGGAAATAGACCAAAAGGAAATAACAATTATCAACCTATATGCACCCAATGTCAATGCACCCAATTTCATCAAACATACCCTGAAAGACCTAAAAGCATATATTAATCCAACACAGTGGTCGTGGGAGACTGTAACACCCCATTATCATCAATAGATAGGTCATCCAAACAAAAAATCAATAAAGAAATCCAAGATCTAAAATATACAATAGATGAAATGGATCTACTTGATGTCTACAGAACATTTCGTCCAACATCTACACAATATACATTCTTCTCAGCAGCCCATGGAACCTTCTCCAAAATAGATCATATCCTAGGGCACAAAGCAAGCCTCAGCAAATATAAGAAAATAGAAATTATACCATGCATACTATCGGATCACAATGCAATAAAACTAGAACTCAACATCAAAAGTAAAGACAAAAAACATGCAAACAGCTGGAAACTGAATAACTCTACTTAATGAACAATGGGTCATTAAGAGGAAATTTAAAAGTTCCTGGAAGTCAATGAAAATGAAAACACAACCTACTGGAAGCTATGGGACACAGCTAAGGCAGTCCTGAGAGGAAAGTTTATAGCCATGAGTGCATATATTTAAAAGACCAAAAGATCCCAAATCAATGACTTAATGATACATCTCAAACTCCTAAAAACAAAAGAACAAGCAAATCCCAAAACAAATAGGAAAGAAATAATAAAAATAGCAGAGCTATTCTAATACAAAGAATTAATGAACCAAAAAAAAAAAAAAAAGTTGGTTCTTTGAAAAAATAAACAAGATCAATAGACCCCTGGCAAACCTGACTAAAATGAGAGAAAAAACCCAAATTGAATCAGGAAAGCAAAAGGGGAGATAACAACAAACACCATCGAAGTCCAGGAAATCATCAGAGACCACTTCGAGAACCTATATTCAAATAAATTTGAAAATCTTAAAGAAATGGACAGATTTCTAGATCATCCAAAACTGAACCAAGAGGATATTAATCACCTGAATAGATCTATAACACAAAATGAAATTGAAGCAGCAATCAAGAGTCTCCCCAAAAAGAAAAGTCCAGGACCTGATGGATTCTCTGCTGAATTCTATCAGACCTTTAAAGAAGAACTGATACCAACCCTCCTTAAACTGTTCCACGAAATAGAAAGGGAAGGAAAACTGCCTAACACATTTTATGAAGCCACTATTACACTTATCCCAAAACCAGGCAAAAACACCTCCAAAAAGGAGAACTATAGGCAATCTCCTTAATGAAATTGATTCAAAACTCCTCAATAAAATAATGGCAAACTGAATTCAACAACACATCAAAAAGATCATTCACCATGACTAAGCAGGCTTCATCCCAGGAATTTAGGGGTGATTCAACATACGAAAATCAATAAACGTAATAAACCACATTAACAGAAGCAAAGACAAAAACCACTTGATCATCTCAATAGATGCAGAAAAAGCCTTTGATAAGATCCAACACCATTTCATGATAAAAGCTCTAAGAAAACTAGGAATAGAAGGAAAGTACCTCAACATTATAAAAGCTATATATGACAAACCTACAGCCAGCATTATACTTAATGGAGGAAAACTCAAACCACTCCCTCTAAAATCAGGAACCAGACAAGGATGCACCCTTATCTCCACTCCTATTCAACATAGTACTGGAATTCCTAGCAAGAGCAATTAGGCAAGAAGAAGGAATAAAAGGAATACAAATAGGTAAAGAAACTGTCAAAATATCCCTATTTGCAGACAACATGATCCTATACCTTAAAGACCCAAAAAACTCTACTGAAAAGCTCCTAGACACCATCAATGGCTATAGCAAGGTAGCAGGATATAAAATCAACATAGAAAAATCATTAGTATTTCTATACACTAATAATGAACAACTGAAAAAGAATATATGAAACCAATTCCATTTATAATAGCCTCAAAAAAAATCAAATACCTAGGTGTAAACCTAACAAAGGATGTGAATGACCTCTACAAGGAAAACTATACACTTCTGAAGAAAGAGATTGAGGAAGACTATAGAAAGTGGAGCGATCTCCCATGCTCATGGATAGGTAGAATAAACATAGTAAAAATGTCTATACTCCCAAAAATATTCTACATGTTTAATGCAATTCCCATCAAAATCCCAATGACATTCATTAAAGAGATCGAAAAATCTACCGTTAAATTTATATGGAAACATAAGAGGCCACGAATAGCCAAGGCAATACTCAGTCAAAAGAACAATGCTGGAGGTATCACAATACCTGACTTCAAACTAAATTACAAAGCAATAGCAATAAAAACAGCATGATACTGGCACAAAAACAGACATGAAGACCAGTGGAACAGAATAGAAGACCCAGATATGAAGCCACACAACTATAACCAACTTGTCTTTGACAAAGGTGCTAAAAATATACGATGGAGAAAAGACAGCCTCTTCAACAAAAACTGCTGGGAAAACTGGTTAGCAGTTTGCAAAAAAATGAAACTAGATCCATGTATATCACCCCATACCAATATTAACTCAAAATGGATCAAGGATCTTAATATCAGACCCCAAACTCTAAAGTTGATACAGGAAAGAGTAGGAAATACTCTGGAGTTAGTAGGTATAGGTAAGAACTTTCTCAACGAAACCCCAGCAGCACAGCAACTAACAGATAGCACAGATAAATAGGACTTCATAAAACTGAAAAGATTCTGCTCAACAAAAGAAATGGTCTCTAAACTGAAGAGAACACCCACAGAGTGGGAGAAAATATTTGCCAGCTACACATCAGACAAAGGACTGATAACCAGAATATACAGGGAACTCAAAAAACTAAATTCACCCAAAATTAATGAACCAATAAAGAAATGGGCAAGTGAGCTAAACAGAAACTTTCTCAAAAGAAGAAATTCAAATGGCAAAAACACATGAAAAATGCTCACCATCTCTAGCAATAAAGGAAATGCAAATTAAAACCACACTAAGATTCCACCTCACCCCTGTTAGAATAGCCATCATAGCAACACCACCAACAACAGGTGTTGGTGAGGATGGGGAAAAAGGAACCCTCTTACACTGTTGGTGGGGGTAAACTAGTACAACCACTCTGGAAAAAAATTTGGAGGCTACTTAAAAAGCTAAACATTGATCTACCATTGATCCAGCAATACCACTCTTGGGGATATACCCAAAAGACTGTGACACAGGTTACTCCAGAGGCACCTGCACACATGTTTATTGCAGCACTATTCACAATAGCCAAGTTATGGAAACAGCCAAGATGCCCCACTACTGACGAATGGATCAAGAAAATGTCGTATTTATACACAATGGAATTTTATGCAGCCATGAAGAAGAACGAAATGTTATCATTCGCTGGTAAATGGATGGAACTGGAGAACATCATTCTGAGTGAGGTTAGCCTGGCCCAAAAGACCAAAAATGTATGTTCTCCCTCATATGTGGACATTAGATCAAGGGCAAACAAACAAGGGGATTGGACTTTGAGCACATGATAAAAGCGAGAGCACACAAGGGAGTGAGGATAGGTAAGACACCTAAAATATTAGCTAGTATTTGTTGCCCTTAACGCAGAGAAACGAAAGCAGATACCTTAAAAGCAACTGAGGCCAACAGAAGAAGAGGACCAGGAACTAGAGAAAAGGTTAGATCAAAAAGAATTAACCTAGAAGGTAACATTCATGCACAGGAAATCAATGTGAGTCAACTCCCTGTATAGCTATCCTTATCTCAACTAGCAAAAACCTTTGTTCCTTCCTATTATTGCTTATACTCTCTCTTCAACAAAATTAGAGATAAGGGCAAAATAGTTTTGCGGGTATTGGGGTGGGGAGAGGGAAGGGGCAGGGTGGGTGGTAAGGGAGGCAGTGGGGGGAGGGGGGAGAAATGACCCAAACATTGTATGCACATATGAATTTAAAAAAAAAAAAGGCAAATAAGTAGAAAAAAACCCAAAATGAATATCACAGCCTAATGACTGGCAAATCTTTGAGGAATGTTAGTAATCTGGTGTGATAAGACAAATTAGTATGTGGTATCTGAAAAACGGAACAATCAGCAAATGTAAGAATTAAGTTTACTTCAACTTGTCCCTAAAGCTAATAAACGTTTGGCATACAAACAATATCTTCAACTGAAGTACTGAATGAACTGATGCTTACACCACCCTCCCAAAGAGTGTGCCATCATTACTTCAGAAGTCCTTAATAAAATCAGTGGTTGACTTGTATATATTTACAAGGAAGACCCAATTAATATACTAGTGTCCCTAAAAGGGACATTACAGTTTTTGTAGAAAAAAAAGTACATGTCACTAAAATGTTATGACAAATCCAGAGAAATTTCAACATACGTGAGCTTTATGATAAGGGTTGTTGTCTTTGATTCCTGGCAAATATCTACGCCTTCCCAAAATGGTCTGAACAAAGCCATCTCTTTTACAATTCTTCACTGTTTCTCTCATGAAATTCTTAATCCCTACAAAACAAAAATGCAAACGTACTTAATTACAACCAAAGTCCATCTATTGTTTCATTCACTTGTTCGAATATACATAGTGAAATATACCAAAATCCCACCATGATTCACAACATGAATATCACATTGAAACAACACATGCAAACTTCCATTCACTTTCTATAGACTCAGAAAGTTAGAAACAAAAAGGACTTCAGAAAGGACATAATGTAACTCCATCTTTTGTTTTCTTATTTCCTGTCTGTGGGTCTCCCCATCCCCACCCCACTCCAGTGATGAGGATCAAACTCGGTGCTTTGCATAAGCTAGGCAAGAGCTTTACCACTGAGCTTCATCCCCAGCCCTTGACTTTTTTGAGACAGGGCTGCACTATGTAGGTTGAGGTATCCTTGAACTTACTGTGTAGCCTAGGCTGGCCTCAAACTTGTGAGTCCCCTGCTTCTGCCTCCTGAGGGCTGGGATTACAGAAGTATACCAACATAACTGGCACTATCTGTTTTTTAATCAACAATAACAATAACAAAAATATATGATACTAAATTCCAGGTGTTTTTACTCCAGGATCTTAAGACCATTCTATACTACTTTTTATAGTTTTCTGTTGTTTAGTCATGCTAATCTTCTTTTACTCTCTTGATCTTATCCTTTTGAGGATTAAAACATTCCAATAGCTCCTTTTACTATTACATTACCATCTAAAGCAGGACCTTACTGAAATTCATACATGAGTCAAATATTTCACTAAGAATATATGCCTCTTAAAATTCAAAAGTACTGTGTATAGTATTCAAATACATTTATGGTCCTTAGACAGTATTCATCTGCTGCCATTTCTAGGTCATTTGTTGTGACTTATGGATCTCCAGGGTGATAAACACTCTTCTCCAGGTGGGTCAGTCTCATATCTGCTTATTCTGGTCTCCGAGCTCAAGAGAGAGGCTCTCCTCTTTAGGAATGTTCTTTTTCTCTTTATAATACTATCAGGTAATAGAAGCCATGCTGCTCTCTTTATTCATATGTGTGATCACTGCTTTCTCACAGCTCTGCTCATCTTGAGTAATAACATGAGTGCTCCCAATTGGAAACCCTCATTTGAAGCTTCCTGGTGTGTGGCTGGCACAGGAAGGATACTCAGGGAGATGATGGGTGAAAGGAAGAGAGAAAACCCTGCCAAGTAAAGCCTGTGAAATCTGAACACCACTGAGGGAACTTTAGAAAGCAACCAGGCTCTTGTCTTTTTCCTTCTAAGAATCAATATGATACAGTTGGGTGAAGAGCAAAGAAGAGGATAAGATTTAAGAGGTTACACATCTAAAAATTCTCTCACCTCACTCCAGATATAAGAGGCCTTCAAATATTCAAATTGTCAGGCTACTTTAAAAAAATTCTAAGGTATAATACAGTAAAAGAGAGCTACTTTAAGTGAACAGTATGAGACACTTTAACAAATACATGTACCTTATAGCTACTGTAATGATAACAAGACATTTTCATTTCTCTTTGTAGTCAGCCCCCATGATCAACTGACACTCAGTGACCTACTCAAGGACACTATATATTAGTTTTTTATGTTCTTGAATTTCACAAAATTGAATTATACTCTATATTCTCATTTGTGTCTGCCTTCTTGTGCTAAAGCAAAACAAAACATTTCCCATAATCATCAATATTCCATCAAGTATCACATCAATATTAAATTTCTGTTCCTTAACTGCTATTCCATTGCAGACAGGCTAAAATTTGTTTATCCATTCATACATTTTATCTGTTCTCAATATTTGGCTGTTACTGTTAGGTCGCAGTTAGCCACAAGTGAGAGATGAGGCAGGATGAATAGAAGAGGAGACAGGGAAATTATATTATTTTAATAAATATTAAAAGGGCCAGACTCAGGCATTGGAAAGAGAAAGACTAAAAACCCAGAGCAGCTAGCCAGCCCTACCCATCTCCTTTTAGACACTAAGTTACAAAACAAGGGGAATTTATAGGACTATCTGCCTTCATCTTTGAGATGTTAATAAGCTGCATGGCATCTTGAGAAGGTAGAGAGAAAAGCCTAACTGGGAAGTCCCAAAACATACCTATTGTCTGTATTTTGGATAGTCCTAAGTAACATCTCCCTATTTTGGTACCATCTTAGCCAATCAAATCCATTATCTTTTTTTTTAGTTTTAGGGGAGAGCACGAACGCAGACCCCTACTACCACAAATTATGCAGTCAAGTTTCCCCCATTTGGGGAAATCACAGGGGTCAGCACATTCAGAGTACAATGGATAAGCCTCGCCCTGGGAAAACCACCTTTGTGATCATGGTATCTCCCCTGCCAGGTAAATATCAAATCCATTACCTTAATGATTAGGCTGCTAGACATAACTAAGTGTATTCTCTCAATGACACAGTAGCATGTACAGCAAGTGTTATTTTGCTATTACATCTCTGTCCCTAATTTTATTTTTTAAAAAAACACACCTTAATAAATTACTGCCTTAACAATGCTGATGAAAACTTCTGATTAATAGAGATTCTAATAGAAAATTCTGCAACACAAATTTTTAAGCTAATCTAATACAGTAAGCAGGGTTGAAAAGTATAGCATTCAGAAGATACTCAGTACTCAGCTTCTCACCTGTATATCTAGACTTGAAGGAGTCAATATAGCAAGCCGCATCATTTTCTTTAACGCCCATCTGCTCTCCTAGAGATTTAGCTCCAATTCCATAAATAATTCCATAGCAAATCTGAAAGGGAGTCAGCACATTCAATAAGTAAATAACTACATAAAACATGAACACGAGAATATAGACAGTTCATTAGGATTGAAATTTTCATGAACTTTTTATTTTATAATGAGTCAAAGAAATTACTAGTTCTGCTTTGGTGGGTTGGATCCACAGATGCTGATACCCAGCAAATATCTATTCTGCCCTTTAGCATTACTGTTTGAGAGAAGCAGAGGAAGGTAAGGAGGAACTTGTGTGTGCATGTGTGTGTTTTAAGAAAATAATCCCAGTGATCTAAAATGGAAGATTTATTTCCATGTCATTTTTTCCATCAGTCATTAAAGCAGCCTTTTATTCCACAGATTAACTCATTAATTTCTGACTAAAGAAGTGTCTAGAAGTCTGGGAAGAAAATATTGCAAACATTCTTTTCCTCACCCATGAACAATACTAAAAGAGCAAACTGTTTGATAACAAGGGGAAAACTTCACTGGAAATAAATATCTTCTTTAACTCATGGCCACTTGAAATTCCACAAATGCAGAATTCATCTAGGTTAAATGTGAACAAAAATTCCTGAGGAACTTTTGGGAGTTGTAGAGAGAAATGGTCTAGACAGGCCACTAAAGAAACTGATCTAATAAGTATTACCTAGGTTCTGTTGGGGATAAAGTCAACTGTGGTCCATTTTCAAGGCAAAACATTTAACCCTAAGTGGAAAATTACTGGTAACCTGCTTGCATGCACCTGGAAAGTCATGAACAAGGTGTTGGGGAGGGGCCATGATGAAATGAGAGGATAGGTAAAAACTACGTATGTGGATGTCAGAGAACACATATCACAGGGAGGCCATTCCAACAAAGACAAAACGGGAGGTGAAGACAACTAAAAGCCCACTTCTAAAATCTGACCAATCCCAAAAGAGACATATTTTAAAATAACCTGATAGAAAATAATAAAACCTAGGTGACATTTGGGAAAGATTGTACATCCCATAGTACTCAGCCAATGAAGAACTGAGGGAGGGACTTACACACTAGAAAATATAATGCTTGTTTGTAACCACTTTGGGTATTCCTGCCAGCCAGACACCCAATCTTGCAAGACCATCATTAAAGTCTCGCTTTCACTGTATTCCACATTTCTCTGAGTCCATTCTTTGAGTTTGGGCAGGTGAACATGTTTTTCACAGGTTCAAACCTAGTTCCACCATTCACAAAATGTATGATCTTGCCCTAGCCACCTAACCTCTTTGTATCTTAATTTTCTCATCCATAGAATGAAAACAGCAATATCTACATCATGGGTTTACTAAGACTGACAAAGAGCAAGCAATATATAAATGTTAAAATAGGAACTTTAGAGATAACTTGCATAAAATGATTATCGTAATTCCAAAAACTTGTAATGTGTTAAGCTAGCTAAAGGGTTCCCATTTCTCCATTTTAATGTTTTGAGAAGGCTTTTTTTCTCAACCTTCATTTATTTTCCTTTTTGGTTTACTTTTAATGTTTTATTTTGGCATCAAATACACTGTTAAATCTTGCAAGAGCTTATTCAAACAGAGGCAGCCATCACCATGGATAACTGTGTAATTATGCAATCTGAATGCCCAAATTCTGACATTCTGAACTGCTGATTCCACCACTTACAGCTGTATGGCCATAAGCAAACTACTAACTTTATGTGCCTGTTCCACTTCTATAAAAATAGTGATACAAATAATAATACCTACCTCAGGAGTTCCTATGATGATTAAATATGGAAGTATTACCTACTTAACTCAGAGCTTGATTCTTACTACATGCAAGACCCTAGAGGAGCTGGCTTTATGTTTGTATATTTATTTATTTATTTGTTTTGGGCAATACTGACATTTGAATTCAATACTTGGTGCTTACTAGACAGGTACTCTACCACTTGAGCTGTGGCTCCAGCTCTTTTTGCTCTGGTTATTTTGGAGGTAGGGTCTCACTTTTTGCCCAGGTTGGCCTGGATGCTCCCCACTGTTGCTGGGATGACAGACAAGTGCTACCACACCCAGCTTTTTTGAAATGGAAGCGAAGGAGTCTCACAAACTTTTTTGCCTGGGATGGCCTAGAACTATGATCCTCTCAATTTCAGCCTCCCATGTAGTTCAGGATGTCAGGCACACACGACTGAGCCCACTGGTTGAGATGGGATCTTGCTAACTTTTTGCCTGGATTGTCCTTGAATGTTGACCCTCCCGATTTCAGACTTCAGAGAAGCTGGATTGTATTTGTGAGCCATCAGCACCCAGTGGAGCCGGCTTTTAAAACAATGCAGAGATACTGGTACTCAACAGGCAGTGGTAAGAGGAAGTACTTCATGAAACAAACCAATTAAGCATTATCCTGTTAGTAGGTAGAAGTGCAAATGTGAAACAAAGCAGGACTTCAGAGCTGTGGTGGGGTACCTCTGCCTCAGCCCACAATCCTGCTTTCTAGCAAATGGCACCAGACTGTCAGGAAGTAGCAGTGTCCATCCAGGCCAGGATGTGTGAAACATGACCTTTGACTTTCTCTGTGCCTAACAATCCTCCAGGAAGAGGAGCTAACCCAGATCCATTTCCACCATACCATGGCAACATGAAGTTCTAGGTTTCAAAAAGCTAACAAGCTATTTGTTATAATTCACAGCTCAGCATTATTAATTTTTTCAACAAATGTTTAGTGAGTACCTTCTACACAATGCACTTTGGCCCAATGACAAAACAAAATATAAAAATGAAAATATGGAACTTTGGACATGTACTGACTAGAAAGATTTAAAATACACCCCCCCACAATAAATAACGAGCGTCACCACCACCACATTTATCACTCTTAAATAAGCATCTACTGAGCATGGGGCACTATGACTAGCCACATCATGGTCTTAAATTCACATGGCTTTCTGATGGTAAGTGGCCTCAGCTTAGTCCATCTGGTTCTTTCTACAAAAGAAAGACTATAATGAATACCAAGAGCCAGACACCAGTGATGTGGTTTTAAAGATCCAAAGACAAAAACTGTTCCTCCACTGTAAATAGCTGAGATAATTTTAACCACTGAATTCTTCTCATTCACATGAAGCACAGTACTGAGATCACCTGCTTTGCTTGTTGCCTCAGATCATCCCCAACGGACTCAGGCTCTATCATCTTCCACTCTGCCGCAATGCTCCTGAACACATCAGCTCCAGTGTTTAACACATGGATGAGACGGCGATCATGAGACAAATGAGCCAAGATCCTCAGTTCAAGCTGAGAGTAATCAGCAGCCAATATTAAGCCACCTGAAGTATAAATGATTTTAGAACAGTGAGTGCAAAGTTCTATATAACATAATCAAATCTCTATACTATTGAGCAGATGACAAAAACTTAATTCTCATTTAGAACTCTGAAATCATGTATTCAAAAGTTAAAATCTAGCTATGTGCGGTGACTGACACCTGTAGTCCCAGCTACTCAGGAGGCAGACATTAGGAGGATAGTGAGACTCCATCTTAACAAACAAGCCAGGCATGGTGGGTGCACCCTATAACTCAAGCTAGGCAGGAGGAATAGGTAACAGCATCATGGCCTGAGGCCAGCCCTGGGCAAAAATATGATATCCCATCTGAAAAGCAAAATGGGCTAGGGGTATGGCTCAAGTGGTAGAACAAATGCAATACAAGTACAAAGCCCTGCGTTTATGCCCCAGTACCACCAAAAAAACTTTGCTTCTAACATTATACAATTTAGTTGTATATATTAAAACATTTTTCCATTTAGCTTTCATGTGTATGTAACGGGTGTAAAGTCTTCCTCCCCACCTGTCTGTCCCCACAGCACCTGGTGTGTAATCTAACATGGTTTCCTGCCTCTCCCACATGGCACTGGCTCCTTAGGGAAAAGAGACTTAAATTTGCTTTTGTTCTACTGAAATTCTCATATAATTTTTGGTATATTATAGGTCCTTAAGAAATGGTTGTTGAATGAATAATTAATTAATGGAAAAGTTGGTGCCCAATAAGTACACATTAAGTGGGCTGTAGAGGATGTGTGCTTTGCTTCGACAATAATAAAAACATTAAATGAACAAATGGTGGTTAACAGGTGAAGCAGAGTTATTAAAAAGATAATTTCCCTATCTTCCGCTACAGATCCAAGGAAAAAGTGTCCTTGTATTCTCTGTCTGATTGTGGCAGCCAATATTAAGCAGAGGAATACAGGGGAGAAAATTTTTTAAAAAATAAAAATAAAAAGATTATTTACCTATGAATTAGAAAGGACTGGATTAGATATGCCTGGCAAAAACAAAATTATAAAAATAATAGTAGGCTCAAAGAAAAAGTAGGAAAAATACTTTTAACTGATTTCACACAGGACTGACATTTTATAAAAAGAGTTGCTACAAATCAAGAAAAGACAAAATATAAGAAGAAATTCAGAGAAATAATTAAAACAAAAGAACCTCAGACATATTAAAGAGTACTCATGTTCATTCATAAGAGAAGTAGAAACTAAATCTATGCCAAGAAAAAAATTTCTTCACTTAAACAGCAGAAATCCAGATGTTTGGACAACAAACTCTGGCAAGATCATAAAGAAAGAAACTTCCTCTCCATTAGATGGCAATTTGACATCCATCAAAATTAACCAGCTTTTCAGTTTGTGACTTGGGGAGCAAAAGCAGGTTGCTATAAAAATCATCCACACATAGATTAAACTGGTTTAAATTCATATTTTTTTACTAATAAGCATAAGTAATATAAAAACACTAAATGAAAAAACTAGCACACACTAGTATATACACAGAATGCTAATTTTGCATAAAAATAGAGGAAGAAAAAGTTATGTATTCATATTTGCATGAAGAAATACTGGTAGGATATATAAGAAACTCATATATGTAGTTGTCTATATGAAATAACTTTTCAGAAGCTAAACAACAGGCAATGCAGGACTGAGAAGGGAGGGAATGAGGTGAAACAAAGAAATGCCTCAAATTTGTGAGTGGAGGTAATTCCCAGGAGGCACCATGGGAATGGGGAGCTAAAATGAAGCACTGTGTTCCCACTGCACTGAGGAAACTGAGACTGGAGTTGGGGCCTATACGGTTGCTAGAACTGGTGAGAACTTGGAGAGAAAGAACTCGTGCATAAAATGATCACTGAACAGACAAAGGAATCTGTGGATTTTTAGTCAAATGCTAGACTGTACTGGGAGAAAGTACAGGGAAACAGGCAAAGAATAAACACTGAAGAAATTATTATTACTAAATAAAAAACAACCATTGCACAGGTGTCAGGTGAACAATTACTCGAACAACACATTCTGGAATGCCAAGAAACACTCAACCTCTGGCCAGTCTAGTGGAGAGATTTTTATCAGTCAGCTTTAACACCGAGTAGAGACCCCAGAACAGCCATACCTTTTGAACAAGAGTAACCTAGCCTGGAGTAAGACCTTAAATGCCTTAAAATGATCAGGAAGGCATAAAAGTAAATTAATTCTCTGCCAGTAAAAACTTTATATTCTGTTAGTGAAAACTACAAAATCCAGCATGTCAGTAAGATAGGAACCACAATGTCCAGGTACAATATAAAAAAAAATCACTAGCTCTATAGAGAACCAGGGAATGAAACTCTGGCAAGGGGAAAATTTAGTCAATAGAAAATAACCCAGAAATTAAAGAGATAACAGAATTTTTTTAAGTTATCATAAATATATTCAGGAATTTAAAGAAAACATGATCATAATGATAGAACAAATTAGTGAACTGAAAAAAAACAATGAAAATTGCAGAAAAGAAACAAAAATTCCAAATCTGAAAATGCAATATCTGAAATATAAAATCCGACAGCTATGGCAGTGATTAGATAGTATAGAAAATATCTGTGAACACTAAAACAATCAATAAAAACTATCCATTGAGGCACACAGCAAAAAATTTTAAAAGGGTGAGTGTCCCAAGCTTCTCCCAAGGTCTGTTCCTACTGACCTGGGATGGAGAGGGGACTGTAGATGCAGAAAGGACAAAAGATAGACAAACATGCAGAAAGTTGGGATCAGGTGTGCTAGGGGCTGGGATGGTGATGCACAACAGCCTTGTTACTTCTTTTCTCTATTAATTCTTTTGCTTTGTTTCTTTTCTCTATCTTTAAAACCTTACTTCTAAAGTTTTTCTTCTTTTCTATTCTTTAAAGTCTCTTTCCTTAGACTCACAATATCCCATGTTTTCCTTAATCTCTCTTAAAGTCTTGGCCCTCAGACTTGCACTGTCCCATGATGTCTCTTAAACTCTCAGTCCTTAGACTCGCAGACACATACAGCCACCAGCAGCAGCATTCTTGCAAGCAGCCCCCCCACCCCCCACCCCCCCCCACTCCCCCCACCCCCGCAAGCCACACAGGCAGTAGCTTCCGCCCCTCCCAGGCACCCAACCAATCCATCAACAATCCTCAACAAATCCCCTCTTCAGCAAGTCTTTTATATACAGTGGCAAACAAGGAGGTGGAGCAACAGTTCTCCAGGAGGGGTGTCACATTGTAACAAGAGAAACCTGCTCTCTCACTGAATGTAAACAACTTAGGAAAGCAGCTGTGCTGCATTTTGCCTTAGCTTCCTTCTGCAGCAGGGGCCATGCCAAACTCAGCCTGTAGATCATTGAGCACAACTGTGCTTATGTCAGGTTCTCATAGGCCTCTCATAATTCGTTCCCCAAAGGTTGGGGGATTAAAAAGGAAAGAAAAAACAAGTCTCACTGACTTTCAGGACAGTACCAAATAGTTTTTCATATATGTATTTGAAGTAATGAAAAAAGGAAAGAGAGATGGAGACAAAATAATATGTAAGAAACAATGACTAAAAATGCTTCATGTGTAACAAAAATATAAACACATAGATTTAAAGAAATTTAAAATTAAGCAAACCTAGGAAATCTAGCAAATTCAAATATACAAGAAGTAAAGAACTACACTGAGATTCACATCCAAGTGAAATTGACTAATAAGGAAAAAACCAAAAAGCATGAGGAGAAAGACATTACACTTGGAGAAATAAAAGCAACAACCAAAAAAATTTGGTATACTTCTCATCCGAAATAATGCAAACCAGAAGATAATAGAAGTAAATATTTAAAGTGCTGAAAGAAGGGGATTGTAGAGCTGGGAATCTATGTCAAATAAAAATACCCTCCAGGCTGGAGATGTAGCTCAGTAAAGCACTTGCCTAGCATGTACAGGCCCTGGGTTCAATCCCCAAAACAGGGAAGGTGGGAAGAAAAAAGGAAGGCAGCCAAGCCTTCAAAAATGAGGATAAAACATATTTTTTGGCCATGAAAATACTAAAAGAAAAAAAAATCATTACCAGTAGAAATGCAATACAAGAAATCTTAAAGGACATACTCTAGGTAAACAAAAATGATAGCAGATAAATAGAAAACAAATTTCACTGTCTCTTAATTTCTTTGAAAGTATATAATAGACTGTTTAAAGACCAAATAGTAATTACTTTTTCAGAGTTTGTATCAGTCATAGAAGTTAAATCTATTACAAAAAAGCAGAAATAGAAATAAACTCCTTATGTTATAGATGAAGTGGCATAAAATTATTTCAAGATAAACTGAGATGTGATGCATACTGTAAACTCTAAAATAAGACATAGTTAATAAGTCAATAGTAGAAATGAAACAGAATAATAACAATGGTCAGTTAACATTTCTAAAAAGATTTTTAAAATAGATTTTTAAAAAATAAAATACAAGGGCTTGGGATGTAGGTCAGTGGTAGAGTGTAAGACCCTGGGTTCAATACGTAGCACCACTAAAATAAAATAAAATACAAATACTAATAACAAGACAGTAGACTCAAATCCAACTCTATACCAATAATCACTATAGTGTAAATGGACTAAACACTTCATTTGAATGGCAGAGATTTCCAGATAAGATACATAGACATTTAATTTAAATTTTAAAACATAAAGCACAATTTTATTATTTTGATAAGAATAAACATGGCTGAATAGAAAAACAAAAGATAGTACAGAATATGCATACAATGAAATATTATTCAGCCTTAAAAAGGAAAGAAATTCTGAGACATGAGACACATACACTGGCAAACCTTGAAGACAATACACTAAGTAAAATAAAATAGGCACAAAAGCACAGAGCTTGTATGATTCTACTTACTTAAGGTATCAAAAGTAGCCCAACTCATAGATATAAAGGTAGAATGGTATGTCTAGCAAAAGGAAGTTCTAAAGCACACCTATTGTCTCTGTATTTTTGGTGGGCCAGAATGACCCCTCCATGTTTAAATCTCAGCCACCCAGGTCCATTATCTTTGATCCCGTGTATTCCCCCAGCTCTCTAGTGTAAGACTGAGATGGGGGTCACCATTTTGAGTGTTTGCTCCCACTTCCTGCATGGGGAATAAGAAGTATTTCTCTCTTTTTCTCTCCCCCCCTTGTCTATACATTATCTTATTATACTAAAATAAATCCTTGCTAAAATTTCAAAAAAAGAGGGTAGAATGGTAATTAATGGAAGTTGGGGCAAGTGGGGAGTTATTGTTTGACAAGTACAAGTTTCAGCAGAAAAAGATGAAAAGGTCCTGGGGATGGAGGTTGATGGTAGTTGCATAGTAATGCAAATATGCCTCATGCCAAACACACTCAAAAATGCTTAAAAGGGCAAGTTCTATGTCGGATAGATTTAATCATCACTTTTAAAAGCTACATCACATATTATTATGTTACAGTGCAAGTTGGAGTCATTGTCTCATACCAAGCATTATACATAAAAACATCACTAATTTAATTAGTGTCAAAGACTAATTCAATTTGAATGATTTTTTTCTACCCACCAATGTAACACTGTAATGTGTTTTTAATATCTTATGCTCAGCATGAGTTAGTGTTACTTATGTGAACTGTAATTGCTGATGAATTTAAAATATTTGTCATCATTTTAATTAAATTTATTTTCCATTAAAATAAGTGTAGACCAATTTTAAAATTTAATACAAAGGCATACAATTGATGCAGAATTGACTATAACAACAGTAAAATAAAAGTCTGAAAGAAGCAGTGTCACACACCTCATGATAGAAGATAATTGCAATTTATTTCAGCAGAGCTAAATAAAAAACCTGTTTGCTTCTACAGAAAAACAAGTTTTACAGCATGGTACTGGCATTAAAAACAGACAAGTAGATTAATAGACTAGAATAGAGGATTCAGACAGAATTTCACACAGCTTCAGCTACTTCATTCTTGGCAAAGGTGTATGTATGTTGGAAAAAATATAGCCTCTTCAACAAATGGTGTTCGGAAAACTGGATATCCACATTTAGAAGAATGAAACTACATCACTGTCCCCTATTCTATATAAAAATCAATTTTAACTGGATCAAAGATTTTAATTTAAGACCTGGAAACTTTTAAACTGCAACAGGAAAATACTTCAAGCTATAGGCACAGTTTTTGAATAGTACTCCAATAGCTCAGGAATTATAAGAGCAAAAACTGACAAATAGGATTGCATCCAATTAAAAAGCTTTTGCACAGCAAAGGAAATAATTACCAGAGTGAAGAGACGGCCTAAAGAATGGCAGAAAATCTTTGCTAGCTATTATACAACAGGGGATTCTTATCTGCAATATATAAAGAGCAAAAAAATTAACAGACTATCCAATCACAATAAATGGGCAAATAAAAGTTTTCAAAAGAAATACAAATAGCCAATAAATACATGAAAAAGCATTGAATATCCTTAGTCATCTGGTAAAATGCAAATCAAAACTACAATGAAATACAATCTCACCCCAGTCAGAATGGCTATCATCAAAAAACAAATGCTGACAAGAGTGAAGAGGACTTATACACTGTTGGATGTGAATGGAAATTAGTGTGGCCCCTATGAAAGTCTGCATGGAAATTCCTCAAAACACTAAAAGTATAGCTACCATATGACCCTGCTATAACACTTCAGAACAAACAAGAGGAACACAGGCTCCACTCAGAGAGGAATGCAGGCCTCTGAGTCCCACTCATAATTCAGACTTTTCCAGTGCTTTGGAAACCATCAGACACCTTACCTGGGAAAGGCACAAAGGCATGTCGCATGCTCACTGAAAATGGCACCCCTCTGTCTGAGGCCTTCTCCCCCATCAGTGCCTGGTACCCAGGATGCAGTCCACAACTCTTCTTACTGTGTCCTCTGTGGTACAAACATCATCAGCTGGACATGAAGCATCTCAATTACGTGATTTTCAGTAAAGACAGCATCCCCATCTAAGAAACTTAAAAACAACCCGACCTGAAACTCACTGTAAACTTTAAGACACTAGACCTCATTTAACAAATATTCAATTAAACATTAAGCCATTTCTGTAACTGACTTTCCCACAAACTGCTTCTGAGACAATTCACTGTCATTAAACTTCACAAATCTCTTTACCATGTCTGATGTAAATTATCTGTGCTGTTTCCTCCTGCCATATGCATATGGGAGGGCAAGAGGGGTGTTGCTGGCAATGCTAGCCTCTCCCCCTCAATATTTGACTTAAAGGAGTACAGGGTGCTGGTAAGTTTAGCCAGTGGCCCATGTGCAGTGTTTCAACATCAACTAGTTTCTTTATAGACACTTAGGATTTGAAATGTGGAATGCCTCTTATCAGAAATGGAGATGTCTAGAACATAAAACATAAAATTAAACTCACTTCATTATTTTATATACTACTAGGCTATTTTTGAACCATTCACATTCACAAAGCATATTAATACTGACACAGAAACCGTTTACCTGACCATGGGAAGCAGGCCTTTGCCTAGGGCTTGGGAAGGTGGGCTCTCCCCTACTAATGTTGGCATTTTAATCTCAAAATCTCTTGGCACATTCTGGATATTTGGTTCTATAAAGGTTATGCGTCCTAAAAATAAAACAGAATAAAGACAAAATTAGAAAAAAATCTGACATTTAGCTCTATTTGCATTTTTGACATATCACTAAAAATGTATACTCTATCAATGCTAAACTAAATTTCTATTTAAATGAGTTTTTCATCATGTTCATGTTTAATAATGATAAAATAGACTGTCCCCAAATAAATGAATCAGCTATAATTCCATCCTCTACATTAACCTGTTTAGAATTCAATCCCATGATAAGAAGCAACTTGATAAATTGAACTATTTCTATATTAAAATGGATGTCAGAACTATGACAAGTCAGCAGTCAGACTGAATAATGACAAATCAAATGGACCACAGGAGAAATGACTACTGGAGACTATAAAGCTGAACAAGACAGGGGTGCAAAGCAAAGCAGCTGTATGCTGAAGAGGACAAACTTGGACCAAAGAAACAAGTTTATAGAGTGAGAGATCACAGACATTGCCTGGGTGCTTTTTTTCATCAGCACTATAATTCAAGAAAATGAATGACAGTATTGCAATGGCTGGGACTAGAATCATGTGAGTGACAGTAATTAGAAAGCTTTCTTTCTTTCTTTTTTTTTTGGGGTGAGGGGGCAATACTGGGGATTGGACCCAAGGCCTCACACATGCTAACCCAGTTCTCTGCCTCTTGAGCCACAGCCTGGCCCCTTGTTTTTGTACTTTTGTTTCTGAGAGACAGTCTTGCTAGCTTTGCCCAGGCTGGCTTGGAACTTGTTATCCTACTATCTCCACCTCCCAAATAGCTGGTATTACAAGCATGTGCCATCACACCTCATTATAAAGCTATTCTTTAAATGTTTATGAAGTCTTTATTTCCCCTAAGTTTTACATTTTATTTGTTTGCTCTTTGGTTGAATTTCTTTGAAACATATAAGTATTTTTCCAAAAAAAATGGGTAATTGTTATGCCATTTAAATAACATATATCATTAACACTAAAACCCTGTTATATGACACATTCTTCACTGTTAACAGGTACTTGAGTAGCTGCTATATTATCATTTCATCCTCTTCTATTGACTGTGACATTTTAAATGCCTCGACCATTGTTCTGAATAAAATTCTGATTTTATATCTTGTTATTTAGCTTTTAGCATGCAGTAAGTGTTCAATTAATGGTGACTTCTAATATACTTATCATTGAATGGCCTGTTCAGTGTTATAAAGCTAGCAGATAGCAGACGGAGGTATCCAAGACTCTTTCTACCTTAGCACACTGCCTTCTTTTCCACAATTATACTAATATTCAGCACAGTGCCCTGGTCTATTAGCTGAATTAATGAGGTAACACTGGCAGACAAACAATATTATAAAAATAAATTAAAAGCATGATTATACCTTATTGGAAATAAATTCTAATCATGAAACAGCTTTGAATCCTTAAGTAAGCTTGTATTTCTACAATATTAAGATATAATAACAATTATAAAACATTAGTAAAATATGGTATTTCTAAAATAAACAATAAAAATAGAAATGATTATAAGCAACACTTAAATGTGCAACACCTTTGAAAACTCTAGGTTGATTTTGGTTTATCACCAAGTATTTTATTTTACATAAGTTTATAGCATTAGCAGATATTCCAAAGTAAAAGTTAAATACCAACAGAGCAAAAAATGACTAGGAAGAATTAAGAGGTTAGCTAAATAAGAGTCAAAGAGAAGAGTTATAAAGTTTTAGAACAAGGAATACAGCAGGTAGAGAGAAAGTTGCTCCTCACAGTGACCCTACTCTTAATAGCACAGCAACTGACAGACATTATGGTAAGTGAAACAGTCAGACTCAAAATGACAAATACACGTTCTCTTTCACATACAGAAGTTAAAGAAAAGAGTCAACCTGAATGTAGACTAGGTAACTATTAAGAGACTGGGATGGGCAGAAGATATAGGGAGTCTGGATATGATCAGTGCATGCTGTGTACATATATTCAAATATCACACTGAAACCCATGAGTATGTGTAGTTAATATTCAGTAATCAAAAATAAAAAATGAATTTATAAAATATATAGACAGATGGATTTATAAATGATTTTTATTTTGTTTTATATAAGATTGTGTATTTTAAAACATATTTTATAATTAGACTAGATTAAAAATAATGTGGCAATGTGAAAAAAAACCCACAACAACTGACACTGGGCACTTTCTAGGAGCCACATACTTTTTAAGCATTTGACTTGGTGTACTAACCTATTTAATCCTCAGAATGACCAGGGGAGGCAAGAGGATTTTTACCTTTCTTCCTTCAGGAAAACTCTTGGTCTCAAGAGTCACAGCACCAGGATTCAAACCTGGATTTTTGACTTCAAAGCCCATATTGCATACCACCAAGCTAAATTGCCTCCTCCATGAATGAGTTAAAACTATCCTCCACTGTACATCATGTTTGGCAAATATTTATTTTTGTACTACCTAGAAAAAAAACCTTTTTCTTTACTAGATTACATTCATATCTATCTCAAGAAGGCCATCAGATATCCAAAAGACTCTACACCTTTCTTTCGTGCTTGGATAAAATAAAATACTTATGATACAGGGGCCCCAGAGGGCTGCTGAGTGAAGATCCACTAGGAGAGACTCCTGAGAGGCTCAGGAAAGGGCCAGAACTAAGGCTCACTAAGTTTACTGACTCAAATGTTTCTTACCACTCATGCAAAGAAAGCACTGTCTCAGATACCAGGTTACTCTGTACAAGCACCTGAAAGCAGGAACTGTATCCCACTAAAACTCATTTCGGTATCTAGGTGTTGTCTAGCTGTGCTTTGCATGTAATGTGGAAACTTACTGACCCAATGATTCATACTTGAATTCCTTGGCTACATATTATATTTTATATTTATCATATCATATTACATTAATTACACTATATTATAAGTATATAATATGTGAACATCTTTTTCTTTAAAAATTGAGCTCTATACATAGTCAGCGTTTCTCATTACCTGTAGCCGTGTGTGATTGTGATACTGGGTAGATTCTTTCCATTCCAAGGAAAGGATTCAGACGCTTTTCCCGCTGCAAGGGGAAGACCACTTTGGTAATAGCATTACTGATTCTTCTCCATTCCAATATCAAGCCTGGTAAAGGATGTAATTCCTTTAATTTCTTTAAAACATCCTGCCAAAGAAATATAACAAGATTGAATTCTTGTTCAAATTTCATAGCAAACTACAATCTCTTCTATATAAATAATAAGTCTCAAAAAATTTACTTTAATAATTCCTATATCCACAACTCAAATCACTGTTTGGGTTTTTTAGAAATCATCACAATCATGAAACTAAGATAAGTACAATTTATGAAATGCAAATGTTATAGTGATCACTATCAATTTATTTATTTTTAATTTTTATTTTTTTATTATTCATATGTGCATACAATGCTTGGGTCATTTCTCCCCCCTCCCCCCACTGCCTCCCTTACCACCCACCCTGCCCCCTCCCTCTCTCCCCCACCCCCTCGATACCCGGCAGAAACTATTTTGCCCTTATCTCTAATTTTGTTGAAGAGAGAGTATAAGCAATAATAGGAAGGAACAAGGCTTTTTGCTAATTGAGATAAGGATAGCTATACAGAGAGTTGACTCACATTGATTTGATCACTATCAATTTAGAGCCACCTTCAAAAAAATCAATGAAGCTTTAGTTTTACAAAGTATCTTCCTCCCCACCCCATCCCTGAAGAAATTCAATCATTTCTTTTCTTTGTACATTTCCTCCTCTATTCTTTTAGTAATTGGAAGTATCCAAGTTGTCTTCCCTTTTGCCCTGATATGCAGATGTTTCCATATCAAGGAAATCAGAACACATTTATTTTTAAAACTTTTACGTTTCAATGCCACATACCTTTTTTTTTTTTTTTAGTACTGGGGGTTGTTAGGAAGGTGCTCTACCACTAGAGCCACTCACCTCTTTGTGTTGGCTATTTTTTAGATAAATATTGCTTTATTCTTGGGCTGACCTACACCATGATCTTCCTATTTGTGCTTCTCTGTGTAGCTGAGATGACAGGAGTGTGCAAGCGCACCTAGCTGTTGGTTGAGATGGGTCTCTCAAACTTTTTGCCCTGGCTGGCCTCGAACAGCAGTCCTCTAGATCTCAACCTCCTGAGTAGCTAGGATCACAGGCTTGAGCACATGGCCATGCTGTGGACTTTTGATAAACCATTAAGGAGGAGAAACTTATAAGGTAAAATAGGGTCAGTGAGACTAGTAAAAAGTTGTTCCCAAGGGCAGACCAGTCACAGTTATGGTATATGAGTTGAAATTCTTTTCCTTCCATTGAAACTTCAGTAAAAATGTAAACTAAGTTATTTTTTCTTTTATTAATACATACAATTTTCCATGTATTGTCATTAGCAAATTTCCTTTAAAAACAGATTAAATTCTTAAAACAAATTTATGGAAAACTTTTTATTTTGCCCTGAAGCTGAAAAATATTGTTTTATTTCTTCTATACCATTCTCCATGTTCACATAACTATACAAATTACATTTTACTGGCAGTATATAAGTAGTGGATGGCAATAGTTACATAATGCCTACAGGTATGAGCTCACAAACCTCTATACTGTTTTAATGATAAGGATACAATTGCTGATTCAAATTATAGTCCTGGTTTTCCACGCTCCAATTTCTCCACAGATTTTGTGGGCTACCAAAACCCACAAATCAACTTGTTTACTTACATGGAGATAAGTTAAAGTCGTGGACTAGAAGGACTCTTGATTTCATAGCATTCGCTATGAAATTTACATGAGCGACACTAAAATTCTAAAAGTAGTTTAGATTCTGCTCTGTGACTGCCCCAAAGACTACCTTACTAGTGCTGAACTGCCTCCCCAGCCTCAGCTTGCGTCCACTGTCATTCCCTCTTCTGGTAGAACCCAGTGTTTTCTTGCTGCCTTGGATTTTCATTTCTCCATTTGGTGGCAACTTCAGTTCCAAAAATAAAACCTGAAAGAAATCAGTAATTCTTTAGTCAAGAATCAAGTTGAAAGTACTGTCATTCAGAAAATGTGTTTTAAAAGTTATTTGAGAAAATAATCTGTACAGTTTAACAAGAGTTGTAAGTATATGTTTTTGGATAAGTGGGAATGATCAGTTTTAACACATGGTGGCAATGAAAACTTGTCAGGTAAATTGTCCATACCCTAATTTAGGCACCATCAGATAATACTAGCAGAGGCTTCTAAGCAAGAACATGGGAATGTATACTCTGTCAAGCAATTGGCAAATAAGGTATTGGCACTGAGACTCGAGGTTGCTCTGAGGATTGTGAGCTCTCCTAAATACGTTTGAAGTGATAACCAACATGGCTACTCAGTCATTAACTCTCATAGAAAGTCAACAAAGGAGTATGGCTGTTGTATAATCACAAAATCAGAAAAACACTACAAGGAAGAATCTGAAAAGCTACCACCACAATGCTAGCCCCAGAAATCACTATGCTGTCCCTGTAGGGCTGATCCAATGTGACAATGAGAAAGGCTCTCCACTGAAGAAACCAGGCCTACACCGGGCAGAAATCCAAGCTACAGGGCAGAGATCCTTGTAACCTAACCTTCGCTAACACAAATTAGAGGGGCTAAAACTCAGGAAATTCAGAATACTGTTTACTATACCTACTCATTCACTTAAATACCTTGAACAGGTTTTAATGAACCTTAGATTCTTTTCTCAATAATAATTCTAAAACTTGAAACCATTTGTGTAAGTACAGTATTGTTTTTCACAAGTTGGCCCAGAAGCAGAGGGAAAGATATGCCCATCCACTACCTAGGATGGTAGTGATGATAGAAACAAAGATCTGGTACCAGTTCAAAATAATGTCAATAGCTCGGATCTAGAGAATGAAAGGAACTCAGGCTTACTATGGATGTTGTTAACTATTTAACCCTAGGGTTACCACACTGGGCAAATAAAATCATAGAATGCCCAATTCAAATTTAATTGCATGGGGCAGAGTTTTATTAACATATTATCTGTTGCTTATCCAAAATTCAGATTTTAAATTGGGGGAGAAGGGCACTATATTTTATCAGGAAATCCTAGTACAAGTTTCAAAGGGTATAGACAGGGAATGGTAGATAAGAGAAAAAAAATCAAATAACTGAATAGAAAAAAATTGAACATTACTATACAAACAATAAAGCAACAATCCCAGGAAGGGACACTAATCAGTTAAGTCAATACAAAGATCTCAAGTTACAAATTTAGAAGTTCTTTACCTTAAGTTTCTTTTCTTGGTGAAGCCTTCAGAATTAATTATGAAAACTCCACATGCAAATTACTTCCCCAAGTAACCTACATTTTAAAATAAAGACCTAAGAATAAGACTTTCAAAGGCCTTCTGCTCTAGCCTGGAGTTAGAACTATTGTCACTTGCCTTAGTACCCACCCCCCTGAATCATAAGCACATGAATCCCTGTGTTTGCTCCACCCTGCTTGTACTGAAAGTCATAGAGGCTATATTTTTGATAAGTTCTCTATGTAATTTTATGCACAGTCAGCTAAGTATTCACATGATGATTCCAAGGCTAAAGAATTCAAAAAAGATAAAAAAGTACCCAAATTCAATACACATACACTATTAAGAGGAAGTTCATTGTTTTTTTAACATATCTAACTTTGTGGCTTTAAAAAGGCATTTTAAATAAGAATTTATAAAATTTAACAAGCACTTAGTAAGTGATTAGTCTAAGCATTTTACATTTATCACTTAATACCTCACAACAACTCTATAAGGGCTTCTATCACAACCTCCATTTTATGATGAAGAAACTGAGGCATACAAAGTTGATGTATTGGAGCTGGTTTTATTAGAAGAAGCAGGACTCAAACCCAGAAGTCTGGCTTTACAACCTATGATCTTTACCATCATACTACGCTATTGAATCACATCCAGAAGACACAGAAGCGTCAAACACTTTCAAGTGTTGGAAACCCTCTAAAACAACCCAATCACCTTTTGCAAGGAAGGAGTACAGTGAGAGGAAAGAACAGAACACGTTGATCTATGAAAATAAAACAGGAGTAAGCTTTGTCAAAAATTTTGTAAAGTGGCAAGAATCTTAACTAGTTTTAAAAAAGAGGTCACATAAATCATTTTTTTCATTGACATCTCAGAAAAGTTATCCAATTTCCTATTCTAAAGAAAGATGGTGTCATGAGGAAGAGGTAAGGATTTATGAAAGGACAACTTCAGTGTAGCCATAGCTACACTGCCACGGGACTGGCACTACAGATCGTTTATTCAACGCATACTCGCATACTTTAGTGAGTGCCTCCTCTGATCTAGGCAAATCATCTTCTAGACCCTACATTCAAGAAGTCTTCTTTACTAGTTTCCTATTTCATAAAAATAGACAAACTTATTAATTATGTGTAGAAGACTCTATCCCAAGTGAATTCTGGTCAACAGTTTTATTTTAATCATCTTTGGTATTTAAGTCAATAAGTTTAGGAGTAGAGGGAAAGATATATACCGTTCACACACAAACACATCATTTTAACTCTAAAAGTTACGTTCTAACATCCTTATTCCCATGGTACCACCTCTGCGATGTCATCTGCACTGGTGAAGGAAAAACTGTGACCAGCTAGTTGATAGGCCTGAGCCTCAATTGCATCCAGTTTTGCTTGCATGATGTGTTTCTGACTTTCACATTCTGCAGTACTAAAGCCAATTCCATTTAGTTCTAGCAAAGCCAAGCAGTACTGAGAGGGCATTTCCACTTTATGGAAAACATCTGAAAGAAAAAAGGAAAATGAAATGGTACTTCATCATCCAAGTGACTAGATCATCAGCTTACCTAAACCACAGAATAGGTCTAGGGCAATTGAGACCCAAGCTATCCTTCAGGATCCAATCTGCTGAGTAGGGTTCTTGAGCCAACAATGAAAGGTGACAAAGGAGAGGACAGGTCATTTATGCACTAGACTACTAAGCAGAGTAGAAGAGCTGGCAATCTTGTGAAGAGTCTGGACTATAAGTAACTTATTTTTCCCAAGATTTAGAAAAATCATCATATACATTCAAGCCACCTACAAAGGACCTAATTGATCCACATGAAGAGAACAGGACATTTTGTCCTGGGTCACATTAAGCAAAGAAACAGCCTCTTAATATCTATTCATACCCAAACAAAAAACCAGCGTTCTACTGGGAGAGTGAGCTTTCAGAACATACCTACTCAATAGGCAAGAGGATAAGAGAAAAAGATCTGGAAGCCGGTAAAATAAGCATACACTAAAATAATTATTTCTAAACAAAATAGCTTATCCACATGCTATTCAAAAACTTCTTTACTCTATGCTCTTCAGTTCTATTGATTCTGGAACTAATAAAGCCTTAACACTGTATAAAAATGCATTTGACACCTTGTCACCCATTTTTGAAAGTTTATGGAAAGAAAGTACTTTCAAGGTACATTAAGAAGGTGAAAGTTAAAAATAACGAATCTAGAGGTTTCTTATAAGGTTTATGGAAAGTAAAACTACAGTTTCCCTATTTTATAGACTGGAAAAACAATCATTAGGTTTGGAACAGCCCTTTCAGCTTATAATTCTTTTTTTTTTTTTTTTTTCCCTTTCTTTCTTTCAGTGCTGGGCATCAAACCCAGGGTCTTGTGAATGCTAGGCAAGCACTCTACCACTAAGCCATATTCCCAGCCCTTGTTTTTTTGAGACAGGGTCTCACTATGTAACCTAGACTAACCTTAAACTCACTATGTACCCCAGGCTGGCCTCAAACTCATGATCCTCATCTGCCTCCCCAGCAAATGCTGGGATTACAGATGCACACCACCACATCCAGCCTGTAAATCTGATAAGGGTAACAAACATCTATAAAAAATTACAGAGCTACTTCTATCAGCATCTTCAAAAATCAGTGTCTGAGAACCAAAAGACAGTAGTTAGTAGCCCAGGACACCAACCTTAGAGGCAGCCTAAGGAAATTATGAACTGTGACTCAGCATTGTTGAGCACCAGTGTAGGAACAGTCCTGCAGCATGGGGGCCAGCACTCCCACTCCTTGGTCTGCCTACATTGGCTTAAAGAGGCTGAGGTTGAAATGCTGCATTGCCTAAACATGAGCTGCTAATGAACATCAATTGGGCAAGCAGGCCTCCTATGAACATGCAAGTTGGTTTGGTCTTTGTCTACCCTGTGATGCTGGGGAGAATATTACTAATGCCACTGAAGGCTTGTCGCAGAGGTAAAAACAATCATTATCAATATAATGGTAAGCACTTACTATGTGCAATCTTTACAAAAACTTTATAAGAACCAAAAGTAGAAAGTTTCAGTAGAATGTTATACGTCCCTTGGCTAATAAGAATACAGCCTACATCCAAACCCTGGTCTATGTGAACTCATCAGTCTGCTGTTTCTAGTATCTATTAATCAGTTAATAAATTCGTGATACAACGTCTTCACAATGAAGTTGACTTTGTTTCCCCTTACCATCTTTACCATAGCATTTGTTATGCTCTCTGAAGTCAAGGTACTCATTCTGGACCAGCTGACTTCCCAACAAATACATGCTATTTGTCATAAGAGAAAAGAGAATCACTTGACTATCCTTTGGTGAAGAAATAACTGTTTCTAAGTAGTTCTAGAAAGAAAACAGTTCATTTTTTAAATCCATGAAAGATGTCTTTTAAGTATGAATAACAATCATTTGATAAAGTTCAAATATGTAATTGACAACAATTGAATAAAATGCCACTAATTCTATGCATTATAGTTGAGCAGATTATGGCATAACTAGTACCAGATTCATGTTTTTGTAAATAAATTATTCCATTTGTTTTGACACTGTCTATGGCTGCTCTCATGATACAAATGGCAAAGTTAAATACTTGTGGTAAAAACCATTTGCCCTACAAGCCAAAAATATTTACCATCTGGCTTTGGACAGAAAAGTTTGTTGACCCTGCACTAGATAATCCAGAGGTAGAATCTGCATAAAATGTGTAATTTAACCATCTGTAATAAAGACAGAGAGAGAGAGAGAGAGAGAGAGAGAGAGAGAGAGAGAGAGAGAGTGTGTGTGTGTGTGTGTGTGTGTATCCCCACTCTGTAACATGAAAATGCCAGGAATTTTGCTTTTACCATGAAGGTTTTCCTTCTGCAACAAGGAGTTGAGTTCATTCATGGAGTTGAAGGTGAGAATGGACTCTATAGATGCTCTGTACCGCCCAGAGTACTCAATGCTGGCATTTAGCCCCAGACTTCGAATTCCTTGGCCTGTCTCTATTCCTTCTAGGAGCGGGAGTTCATGAGGAAGAAAACTGGTAACTATGCTATGAAGAGTTGGCTCCTTAGAATCTGGATTGAGTAACCAGCATGCCACCTAAATGAGACAGCAATCAGAATATTTTCTTAATTTTATAAATTACATTTTTGTATCCTTAAATCAAAAGGGGAAAATATAAAGTCTATTTGTAATCTAAGTTTTACTTACCATTTATTCAGTAGTATTCCCAGGAAAGCATAACTGTAATACTTCTCATTTTGGGTACCACAAAGAGGGAAAAGCTGTAACTTTTCCACTACTGCAGTGATCCTGGCTGGCCTAGCTCTGAAGCCGGTTCGAGAACCAAGTGCCTTTCAGCTAACTGCAACCATGTTGTCTGAGAATGAAGATGGAGGCTTTTCCACTTAGACTGATTTGGGCTAAGCTACAACAATAAAGATGGGCCTTGATGGCTATAGGTTTACTTAATTCTTTCAACCTCAGAAGAAGTGAGGCATAGATAGTTTATATTATAAGTTTATAGTCAGAGTTTCAGAAAGCCTCTAGAATTTCCCTTCAGGATAGAGTCCTGTCATCAAGACTACCCAACTAGTCATTTAATTGCTATCTTCAACTTCCTCACAAGACTGGGAGATATGTAGTTTCTAAAAGTGAATCTAGCAAATCAGAAGCTGGATTTAGAATAAGAAAAATCTAAACCCTATTAATACTTCTGAGAATTACTATCTGATACAATCACTTCTTTTGTAGATTATGAATGAAGTTGTATAGGAGAGTATTGGCTGAGAAAGTCTGATGTAAAAGTTAGCTACTGTTTCTTATGAAGATGACATTTTACAAAGTCTATCTTCTTATATCAAAAAACACTGTAATTAACACAATTATGGTATATTACAAATTGTTTAAGAAGAAGGTGCTATATAAATCTAGAACACTACTGTATTTTATTGAGAGGCTCATACAACCTATATTCTTGCTTTGGAATTTAGAACATCAAAATTAAATGACAACCTTTTATATCTAGTAGAAATCAGTTTAAATGTTTGCCAGAAAACAAAGCAAAACAAAACAAAAAACCTTAAGAAACTGAGAATGTAGCTCAGTGACAGAGCACTTGGCAAGCATGCCCAAGACCGTGGGTTCAATCCCTAGCCCTTCATTAAAAAAAAAAAAAAAAAAAAGAAGTAGCTAAGAAACTAAAAATCATCCTACTATTATTGCTATATTGGTAACAACTGCTAAATCATATAATTTCTCATTTTTAAATTAATACTCTGTATGCCTCATGCATTTATTATTAATAGGTAGGAAAATGATACACCTTTAAAGATTATATTACAAATAAATGTCTTCTCAAAATGCATTCTACTGCTAAGTGTTTATTATCATAACATAAATTATTCCTTCCTTAATAACTCAGGTCATCATTATGAAGAATGTATCATGCTTTGCTATTGCATAGAAATGTTCTCAGGGACTTGTAAATTGATTTCCTCTATGGCCGCTAGCTATACTCCCTTTTGACAGCTTAAATTCATGCACTTGTCCTATTTTCTGCCTCCTCACTCATGAATATGTAAAAATTCTGCTATCATATACCTAAACCTAATAGCTCTTATTTCACTTTTAATTTACTATGAAATAAAAAATTAAACTTATGACCAAACTTTTTTTAAGTCCTAAAGCTTGGAATTTGTGACATAATCTGTTTTCATCTACAAAGAAGTATTTGGTACATGGTACTCTGGGTGGATAAGATTACTGCACAGAGAATTGATTTCTCTAAAAGACTTACATTGCATTATTGAAGCTAAATAAATACTAAATCATTTAAGAATTAACCCTAAACACTAATAGTGTTTAAGTATAGAAGCTTAACAGCACAGAACCTTAGGGTCTTCATAACTTTGTTCCAGGGAGATGCCACAAGACAGAAGAAGAATTTTATAACTCTGGATGAAGTCATAGATGATAACAGAACGTTCTTTATCAGATTCCTTTTGCAAGCAGGACTGAAGGTATCGCAGCCTCTCTTTCACAGTCAGGTTTGGATCCAGAGAAGGTGGGGCCAAACTGGCACTGATTTCTTGAGAAGAAAAAAAGCACTTAATGCAAAAATTGCATTCATTCATTTGAAGTAGCGATCTTTAGTACAAAAACTTAAATTACTCGGAAGCCTAAGAATCTGGTTCTAAGTGACTGCTAATTCAGCATGACCTTATCAAGGTCATATGAACCATGTCGATGAAGTGCTTCATAATCTAAAAATCATGGTTTGGGCTAGATTATTTATAATGCTCTATTTCATTACATAGGAGAAAATTCTAAATATAAATTATAAAAATAAAATTATATTTTTTGAACAAGGAGTTAAAGGCAGGTAAGGAATTTTTTAAATTTGAAAAGGCAGACATATAATGTATCAAAAATAAAAGAAGAGGATCAAGTAACTATGAAAAAAAAGTAAAAATATTTCCTTCTTACTGAGGTACAAACACTGATATTCTTATTAATTTTATTCTGTTCAAAACAACCAAACAGCTGACTATACAACAACCATAATCAGGTCACAAGATAGTTCCAAATCATATCCTTTCAATTCCAAAGCCTCCTCCAAAGGCTGTGTGAGTTCACAACTATAGTTATCTAGCTTAGCATTGCTCTGGATGAGCTCCATATTCAGGCAATGGGAAGAGAAAGGCTGAGAAAAAATTGTGATGGTCCAGTGTTCACAGCCTTATGTGACAAGCAGTGGGAAGCAAGGGAGATGTTTCTTAGAACATTCATTCTAGTCTGGGGATATGACTCTGTGGCAGAGAACTCAGCTACAGGTACATGGCTGTGAGTTCAGTACCTAACACAAAAAAAATCATTTCAGTTAATACATGCAACCATGTACACACTAACTATTCTCCAAATAATGATTTTTTTAAATTCTAAAAGTAAATTCTAAGTCATATCAGGAAATTACTCTCAACAAACAAGATCACTACCTTAACAGATATTTTATTGATTATATGTTGGCTTAGCCAAATACTCATTGCTTACCAGAATGTGTTTGTTCCTTCTGTAATGAAAAATAATAGGCATCTCTTCCACCCCAGCATACTGCCAGTCCAACCACCAAGATGTCATCAGAGCCTTGAACAGGAAATCCATCATCTCTAATAAGGGTTTCCTGAAGTAAGCTAACTAAGTGAACAAAGGTGAAATAGTTTAAAAATCTTTTAAAATAAAAGATATTCATAGTTAAAACAATCATTAAAACTACATTTGACTGCTAAAATTTGTAGACCTTGAAAAAATGCACTATTTGGATAGTTATTTGTAACTATATCTATGATCTTTCTAGGCTTCCCATGAAAAAAGAGATCTGTCACTATGAAAAATATACTAAAGATTTCCTAAAATAGAGCTATAAGTAATGACTAAAGGAGAATTAACTAAATGAAAAAACCTGCTTTTCAAATTTATATAATTTGAACAGAAATAAAGACGACTTGCCCACTAACAAAATCTTCATAGCAAAATCAGCAATGTTTAACTAAAAAACTTCATCAAGAGTCTTACTCATTAGTGAACAATTAAGTATGATTCTGTATGTGGAATCAACATTTTTCTCTAATGTATCCTCAGTTTTACAAAGGTCAGGAGCTAATGTGTTCTATTTACAATTATATCTCCCAATACCTGAGAAATAATTGGTGTATTAGATATTTGTTAAGTTTAAGCAAATCTGTTTATCCCTCTACACAAAGCCTAATGTATCAATTTTATGTTTGATAGATTTTAAAAAAATGGAAAGTGATATTCAACATTAAAAGTACATAAAACCTATCATTAACACATACGCTCCATGAATTAAAGATAAAAATTTTGAAGACTCAAAACTTTCTGAATAAGTTCACTGATAAATACAGAGACTTCAGAAATCTAATCAAACCTCTGATTTCCACAACAGGTGGATGAGCTAGACTACAGCTATTCCCCATAAGCCAAAACCCAAGATTCATGCAATAAGAGAAGTTCAACTCTCTTGAAACCTGGAAAAGCTCAGAGGCTTGAAATCAACACTTCGGTGTAGAATTCATGATATCACTGGAGACTTGAGATAAATCTTGGAAAATATAGCAAATGCACTTTGTGAAAAATATAGTGCCTATCTGCTATGTACTTTAATGAATATATAAGTAAACAAAGGTATTTACGGAAATAATTCATGAACACTGAAGATTAATAGAAACTGCTATATCACATTAAAATACCATAAAAACAAATGTCTGATCATATTCAAAAAATATCTAACTTAATTTTTATAAATTTATATTCCACTAACATAATATATATTGCATATATATCTTATAATGGAGGGTAACTATTAGTAACCAGCTGGCCCAAATAAATAAAGCTGTTCTATACATAAAGGATACATAAGGATATATTTATTAAATTTTGAATAGATTACATCTAATACCTAATAGTGAAAAATTCAAACCTCCTATCAGTCAAAATAAATGTGAAAAAATAAAGTAAAAAAAAAGTCTTACCTTGCTTAAACCTACCACCAATAGTGGCGATTTTAGAAGATGTCAAACTTCTGATCTTTTCACAAGCCAATGAGATGGAAAATCGTTTTTTGCACTGCCACTCCTTAATGAATGTTTGAAAGAGAGTTTGGTCACTTGCGACATCAATTATGGCCAAACTTTCTGAATTGAACGAGGCTGGAGTTAACTGCAATCCATCCTGTGACAACTGTACTGAAAAACTTGTGTCTCTCATAGGACTGTCATCCTTGAAACTGTTTCTGGTCTCTGGACTTAAATCATGTTTTTTAATATCTGAAGGTGAGCTGAATAAATAGATTTCACCAGGCTGTAAAACACTGCTACTTTTCTGAAGTTTAACAGATGTTCCAAGAATCTCTGGAAATGCCAGCTTAGAAAATGTTGGACTGGGTGTAGGAGGAATAAGACCATTATCATCACCTATAGAACTTTCTTTACTAGGCAAGGAGGACGAGGTTTCACCTTGACTGGGGTTGTTCTCTCGTGTTCCAAGAATCTTGCTTTTTATTTCATTATTAGGGAAAAATGAAATTCCCTGTACTTGGTATGTCTCCAAATTTGAAATCACTTCCTGTCTCTCATTTAACTCTGTATTTTTTTCTTTCAAACAAGACAAGTTTACAGTGATTGCGTTTTCATTTTCCAGAGGACGGGACACTTTATCTAAAATCCTTTGTAGCCCTGGACTTAAAACAAATGATGCTCCTGACCATATAAGTGAATTATTATGCCTTGTCCCAATTAATTTGGATTTTTGAGTCCCTTCATCTCGATCTCTTCCAATTACTTCTCCTTGGGGATAACTATTAGCTATAACTGCTGAATCACTTAGTTCTAATGCTCTAAGAGATAATGCAGTGCTAGGTTTCTCTGGAACAGGAAATATAGCTACATTGTCCAAAGCTTCAACCAACTGAACAGACTCGATTTCTGAAAAAATAACAGATTCATCATTGCAACAAGTCAACTGCTGAATACCTTGATGTTCATTCATATTTCCATTTTTAATAGTGTCTTCTTGTAGATGCAGTGAATCACTGACATGGTTTGATGTTATTTTAGAAGGAAGAGGTTCTTTGGTTTGTACATTGGGTGATTGTTCTTTTACTAGGAAGTCTTCACTGTAACTGTCAAATAATAAACTATCACTCATATTCAAACTTTTTTCAGGATCTGGCAGATATTCCCTCTCTACACCAGTGGGAGTTCTCTTTTGAGAAGTCAGAGGTATGACTGATTTCACAGTTTCTTGTGTTTGATAACCTTGAAGAAAACTGTTCAACTGGGAGTCAGTAACAGAAAGTTCATTCCCTTTAAAGCAAGGGTCATTTTCCCCCAACAGTATTGGAGAATGAAAAATTAGGCTTTTGGGAGTCAGTCTGTCAACTCCATGTTCAGCGCTTTGTGTCATAGTATCTACAGTCTTAAGGTTCAAATGGTCTGGGTTAGTCACTACTGAGGAATGGTGTTCACAGGGTGAAGTAAAGTGATACTTGTTCTGAAAATTGTTCATGCAGTTCTGTTTGTCTGAGCTACTATGCATTATCCCTGCTACCAGATTGGTACCTTTTGTTCTTTGTTTGGAATTTTCATCTGTCATCTGTTGAATTATTTTCTCTGACTGTGTATCCAGGTAGAAACTATCTTCAAAATCACAGAGAACTAAACCTAAGTCAGAAACGTGATTATTTCCAATATTGTTTGTTATATAATTATCTGTTTTTTCTTGTATTCTAGAAGAATTTAGAAAGTCCTTATGCTGGCCTCTTGATTTACTGAATGCTCCAGTTGACTCAGTTCTGCTTATCTCAACTTCTAATGCTTGAAAATGATTTGGATTATTTTCTTTATTAAGCTTCAGACTTCCACATTTGACCCTAGTAACACTTGAGTCTTTATGTATGTAACTACTGACTGCTTCACAGGACATTTGCCTCTCTACTATATTCTTCTGTTTGATGTAAGTGTTTGTCTGTTTATTACATTGCTTTTCTAGGCATTGGCTAATTGGGTGGGTCTCATGGTATTTCACAGAAACATTTTGTTTTGTTGAATCATTCTGTATCAGCACTTCACTTATTTTTTCTGTTTCAACTATAGATGATCCTTTTTCATTTTTACTAGCCACACTAGTAGTTTGATAAGTCACATTTTTACTTAGTGATCCTGTGCAAAAATGTTTTACAAGAATATCATTAATTGTTGTTTGAGTATCGTTAACTAATGTCCTCTTCTTTAAACAACTTTGCTCTGTTTTTAATAGGCATGATGTTTTGCTGTATTTTTCTGCAGCACAAAAAGACACATTTTTGCCAAATGGCCCTGGGTTTCTAAATTGCATATTCTTCTCATTCATGGTCAATGAATCTTCACAAAGAATAGGTCTAGACATAGTCTGTCCTTGTAAATCAACTCTATGCATCCCAGAGTCTTCTACAGGGTTACTGTTACTGCATTGTTTTTGGTGCTTTCTATGTTTCCAAGATTGAAAGCTTCCGCTCATTTGTTCTGAACTGAAATTCAAAGCTGCTTTTTTGGTTTTCTCCAAGGAGAAAGTCGGAAGAGCTTTCCTAGGGCTTGTTTGTTCCTCATTCAGAGAGGTTCTGAGCTTCTCCTTATTTATATCCAAAGAAGCCTGTTTTCTTGCTCTGAAAATGGAATGTCTATGATGTTTTTGATTCCCCTCCTGGAATGTATAATGAAAGGAACTTGTATGCTCTCCAATTTTATCTAAATCTTGCACTATACTTGGTGAATGCTTAACATAAGAATCACTAAATCTTCTATTGCTTTTGTTCTTTGATGCTAATCTTTTAGGAGAACTCATACTTTGGGGTATAAACATATGCTCCTGTGCTTCTGACTCACTACTGGTCAGTGAATGTGTACCAGAACTCAGAGGAGAACACAGATCCCATTGTACTCCCATTTCAATTAAGTCCTGCTTCAGAATCAGTTTGGCTTCTTCCACTATTAGGGCTGCTGCTTCCCTTGCAGTTAAACCTTTTCTGCCAGTCACCCAAATAGTTCGCATATTCCGACGTTCTTCAACTGCTTCCTCTTCCTCATCCACTGCCTTCCGGGCACTATACAAGGAGATAGGTAAAGAAGGAAATTAATGCATCAATTCACTCATTCATACAAAAAAAATTCATTAAGTATCCAATCTGAGTTGCTCTAAAAACTGAAGGAATAGCACTGAACAAGAAAGAGATATCTCTGCTTTCATGGTGCTTACATTCCAGTTGAGGAAATTAGAAAATAAACAAATGTTTTAAAAAGTATTCTATGTCAACTGCTGGTAAAAGTTGTACACAAAAATGAAACTGAAGAAAGGGATGAGTGATTCTGCAACTTTTAAAGCGAATACTAAGGGAAGGCCTCACTAAGACACATTCTATAAGCAAAATCCTATTAAAAAATAGGAGTCACAAACTCCTCCAACACAATATTACTTAGACAAAATAGTTGAAGGGACTAGAGAGTGACCAAAAGAAAGAAGAAACTCAAAAAGGTTGAGGCTTAGAACAAAGAAATGATAGTGGGTGAATTTTCACACATATCACCTAAATACAGACTCTAGGCAGTACTATGTAGGCCAGGTAAATATACAGATAAAACCCAGAGGTCAATGATTGGCTGAATTCAGAATGGCAGTCAAGGTAACTACAGGAGTTAGAAATAGAAGGGGGAACATCTAAAAACAAGAGACCTACAGAAGAAGACCCCCATTTCTTCATATGAACTCTGCCTAATATCTGACTCTAAGCTATGCCAATTTGGGCAGACTCCAAGTAACCTGTTAGAAATCTAAATGACTGAACAGAAGCTTGAGCTAGTGCCCACCATACGAAAAGAAAGTTTGGGATTGGAAGTCAGCTAAGTGACTGACATTAATGTCTTCTCGATAACTGACATTAATGTTTCCTGGATAACATAATGGTCTATATCATAAATGACAAAACATACATGAAGGACAAACATAACCAGTAGGATGACAACAAAACAAAACCTACCGTTTTCTAAATTTAAGAATAAAACAGAAAAACAGGTAGAGAAAGAAACAGCAAATATCATAACATGTACATAATTATAAAACAATTTGAGAGAACTAAGACCAAACCTATCAGCCCTATCAATAAAATGTTAAAAGAACAGAAGCATCTATTAAAAGAAAAATATTTTCAATTTGATTCAGAAGCAAAACTCAACTATAGAGACGGAGTAAGGTCACAGATTAGAAGTGTGTTCAGTTTTGACTCTATGAATAGAAGAGTTGAGTAATTAAAAAAAGAGACTATATTCTGAAAAGAGGCAGAGCATCTGTAATCACAAAAAGGTGGCAGAACAACCAAAAAGCACAAAGAAACAGAAAGACAAAATAGAAAAGCAGAAAACAGTTCCAAGCTCCATGGAGGAGGAGGGGAAGCTAAAGACACAATCACAAAGTGAGCCAATGGCCCTATTGACAGATGGCAATTCTAGCTGCAGGATAAGCCCACACCTTCCACATGCTTTAAACCCAGTATGGGATTTGATGAGACAGTGATTGCTTTGGTGTGGAAGGCTAGCTTCAGTAAAGAAAGACATTCTGTTACGTTCATTATCTCAGAAAGCCATAGCAAGACATCATCTTGAGAAAAGGGCTATTGCTTGAGACTGAGTTGGATCTGACAAAGACCCAGAGAAATTTAAGCAGTTGGAAGCACCAGCAGTAAAGGATGCAGTGGTCAGAGGCCCTGCCATCCAGAACAAAGAGAAAGTCCTATTGCCTGAGGGTCATGGTGGAAACAGACCACCAAAGCCTGTGGCTGGGTATAGTGCTTAGCCTCCAGAACCTATATTCTGGCTGCATGCGTTGGCTACCAAGTGGATCTATAGCCCAAGCCAGGCACATCAAATCCTGCTTCCAGGACCTAAATCCAGGTGTTTGATACCAGATGGGACTAAAAGAGCTTAGGCCTCCAACTCACATGATTTCAACAGTGAGGTTGTGATTTTACCACACAGTGAGGTGAACTGATGGGTAGGGTCTGAAAACACTGTGCCCCACCTCAAGGGTGTGTGTTAGCTTCCAGGCAGGACTGAGAACCCCAAACTCAATCAAGTGATTTTTACAACCTCTTCCCCCTAGAGGGAGGTGGACTGCTGGGCAGGGTCTGAAAGCGCTAATGTCCACTTCCAGGTTCTGCATCCCAGCATGTGTTTGCTACCAGGTGGGTCAGAGGGCCCTGAACCAAGATCCTCTAAATCACATGACTTCCATAACCTCCTCACCCACACAGGGAGGTGGTATGAGGATAGAATCTATAATTACTGAGACACTGGGCAGAGTGCCTAGATGCCTCAGTTCCTCCCCTACCAAGTCTGCTCCTCCCACTGTCTGATGCATTTGTGGGTCAAGCCTAGGCTTCAATGCTTGCTGACCCTGGGGACACAAATGGGGGACTTGTGGAGCAAGTGGGAACCTGCCTGGCCCACAGGCTATAAAGCTCCCTGTGACCAGCAGCAGATCCCAGTACACATAAAAGGGAAGCTTCTATAGTGAATGCAGTCCAAAAGTGGCAAATTGACCCTTCTAAGAAACTCCAGGGTTGGAGGCATAGGCCAAATGGTAGAGCACCTGCCTAAGCACACATGAAGCCCTGAATTCAAACCCAGTTCTGAGGAAGTGAGGGAGGGAGGAAGGAAGGAAGGAAGAAAGAAGAAGGAGGAAGGAAGGGGAAAAGGAAGAAGGAAGAAGAAGAAAAAGAAAGACATCAGCTAGTTTTCCTCAATCTTAGAAGTGCTAAGACTGGTGACCTGAGGACATGGATGAATATCTGGATGAACTCAAACAGTTAAATGAAACAAAGAAGGTAATTAAGAACATAAAAGAGGAATTAAATACACAGAAATTCTGAAAAAAAAAATCAAATTGAAATTCTGAGTTAAAAGTCTCTCCAGTAGAATGAATCAAATTGAAGACAGAATATCAGGACATGAACATGAGGTAGATGTCTAAGAACATGGAGATTAAGAAATATATAAGGAAGTTTGAACAGAACATGGGTGACCTCTGGGACATCAGTGAAAGACCAAACTACAAATCAAGGGCATAAAAGAAGAGGTGCAGGATACAGGCACCAAAATATATTCAGAAAGATGGCAGCAAAAAACTTTCTAAATCTTGAAAAAGAGATAGTTATCCAGGAACAGGAAGCTTGTAGGACTTCAAACAGACAAGACCATAAAAGAATCTCTCCAAAGCATATTATAGTTTTATCAGTATGTATATAGAATAAGGGAAGAATACTGAAAGTAGCAAATGAGAAACTCCAAGTTACCTACAAAGGCAAATTCAAAGAATGACAGAATTTTCAATAGAAACTTTAAAAGGTCCCATTTATCTATGCTATGTCTTAGTTGCTGTGCTGCTGGGGTTTCATTGAGAAAGTTCTTACCTATACCTACTAACTCCAGAGTATTTCCTACTCTTTCTTGTATCAACTTAAGAGTTTGGGGTCTGATATTAAGATCCTTGATCCATTTTGAGTTAATCTTGGTATAGGGTGATATACATGGATCTAGTTTCAGTTTTTTGCAGACTGCTAACCACTTTTCCCAGCAGTTTTTGTTGAAGAGGCTGCTATTTCTCCATCGTATATTTTTAGCTCCTTTATCAAAGATAAGTTGCTCATAGTTGTGTGGCTTCATATCTGGATCCTCTATTCTGTTCCACTGACCAGAAGGTAACACCCACGCACAGGAAATCAATGTGAGTCAATGCCCTGTATAGCTATCCTTATCTCAACCAGCAAAACCCCTTGTTCCTTCCTATTATTGCTTATACTCTCTCTACAACAAAATTAGAGATAAGGGCAAAATAGTTTCTGCTGGGTATTGAGGGGGGGAGTGGGAGGGGGTAGAGTGGGTGGTAAGGGAGGGGGTGGGGGCAGGGGGGAGAAATGAACCAAGCCTTGTATGCACATATGAATAATAAAAGAAAAATGAAAAAAAAAAAAGAAACTTTAAAAGGAGGGCATGGAATGATGTATTTCAAGCCCTGAAAGAAAATAACTGCTAACAGATATTACTGTATCCAGCGAAGCTATCCTTCAAAGTTGAAGGAGAACTATAAACCATACATGATTAAAAAAAAAAAAAAAACTAAAGGAATTCATGACTACTAGACCAGCAATGCAGAAGATATATAACAATTCTACATGCAGACAAAGATAAATGCATCCATGAAAATACAGGAAAGAAGAAATCCCACTAAAAGAGTAGATAAGCAAACAGGCAAGAAGCAAGCACTACAAACACAACAAAATGGCAGAAATTACTACAAACCTTTCTGTAATAATGCTGAAGTTTATTGGTCTCAATTCTCTAATCAAAAAGACAGAGACTGACCGACTGGATTTAAAAAACAAGACCCAACCATTTGTTGCATACAAGAAACTCACCTCGCTGGAAAAGACAAACAAGGCTTAAAGTGAAAGGATGAAATAAGATTTTATAAGCAAATAGAGCCTGAAAACAAGTAGGAGTGGCTATTTCTAACAAAGCAGATATCAAAATAAAATTAGTCAGAAGAGACAAAGAATTTCACTTAAATTGATAAAGGGAACAATGCAACAATGCAACAACAGGATATAACAACCATAAATATACAATGCATAGCTAGTATCTCCTGGAATAGCACCAGAGGCATTTCCACTAAGATCATAAACAAAGCAAAAATGGTCACTATCTCTATTACTATACCACATTTTATTACAGGTATTTGCTAACTCAATTAGTCAAGAGAAATCAAATAGAAGCATGAGAATTGGTCAGAGAAAAGTGAAATATCTCTAGTTACAGAAGATAGGGCAATACACCTGGAAAACCCTAGAGAATCAATGATTAAAGCACCCTTTAATGATAAAAAAAAATTCAGGAAGTGGCAAGATAAAACATACAGAGAAATCAATAGCCTCCAAAAGCACAGATAATCATGTAGAAGACATTATAAGAGAACCACCAACTAATCTTTACTAGTAAAGATTAAATAGGAATGAATTTAGAAGAAATGTGCAAAATCTAAGAAGAAAATTTTTTTAAACTCCTGAGAAACACAAAAACTAAATCAAATACAAAGACATCATCTATCCTTGGAAAGGCAACTGAACATTATAAAGATGTCAATTCTCTGTAAATTAAGTTTTAAACCATTCCAACAGAAATTGTAACATGTCACTATAAACTTCAAATGACCAAATACACAAGAATTTCCCAGAATATACTACAAGACTATAAGGGAGAACTTGCCCTAACTAACTAACACTTATGTACAAGGCCTTTATAATTAAGAGTATGATACTGGCTCATGAATTAGCAAAAAGAATAATAGAGTCTAGAAATAAATCTAAGAACTTACAAATATGTAGCATATTATGAAGGCAGTACCTCAAATCACTGGGACAAAAATAAACTTTTTACTAAGTGGGGAAAAGTTAAAAATTTTATCTAGATTTCACCCTGTACACAAAATTAAAGTCTAAATATATCAGTAATTGAAATGGAAACTCAGAAAAACTAGAAGAAAGTGTATAAACTTCTCTTTAATTTCAGTGTAGAAAAAGTCTTTCCAACTATGACTTTCTTACCTTTTGAAAGGCACAGCGTTTTTCAGAACAATTTCCACCTCAGCAATACTTGCTCTAGCAAGATCTGCCACAGTAAGAAAGCCAGAAGCATAGAAGAACCTGGCTCGCTGTGCGTTAAGTAAGGATACCCGAACCAGGTCACACAGTTCCCGCTGGACGCCGAATGTAAGACGCTTCTGAAACTGGGAAAGTAGTAGTTCCATGTTGTGCCAGCCCAGACGATGGAAAACACTGTAATCATCCCTAGAACATTCATAGAATATGTGTTGAATTAACAATTCCTTACAGGCTCATTCCCCATTTCTTTAGACATATTTTTTTGGTCTAGTTTTGCTTGTTCCTGTAGAATTGCAAAGTTTAACAGGGCCCAAGAGATAAGTTAACAAAAGAGTAGACAAATGATAAAGCCCAAGCTAAATGGGCAGTAAATGTGCTAACAAATAAACAAAAACCCAGAGGGACTCTCATCACCTACAGGAAAACATAAGAGCTGATACAAATTTTCAAGTGCTGAGTACTATAAAGAGTGAAATTCCCCTAATTTTCTTTAAAAAAAAAGGTTGCCCATCTCAACAGCTACACCCTCTTAAATAAAAAGGGTAGTACAGCCAAGTGCCATGGTATTAAGAAAGTTACTTCCCTATGAGAACAATTAACCCAAGAGGCAATCTTAGATCTTTGATGCTATTGAGTTGAATAGTGAGTCCCTTTCTTTATATGACCCTCTGCCCCAATCTTCCCCTCATATGCATAAACCTTCACAAGAAAACTTCTTATACAAATAAATACATACAATCTCTAGTAGCCCAAGGTTTCCTTTCTAAGAGCTTCTTAAGAGGATTTCTTAGTAAAATTAGACCCAGAATCTCTATTTATCTAATTTAGAGGATGTGAATTTCATACATGAAGTCACACCAGTGCCTCCTGAGAGAGAAAATATTTAGAAGAGTCGGATAGGAGTCCAGAAATCTCTCTCCATCTGTCATCCTCCTTCTCAACAAATATTAATCAGTACATTTATATACCTGACACTACCTCGTATTATTAATGTGTGCTAACTCAAAAATTGAAAATGAAAGGTTAGGCATTGTAAACATTTTTTCTATTTCTTCTCAAAACAGAGGAAAAAACAAGAAAAACAAAACTGGAGGAAATAACAAAAGAAGGAAAGACACTTTGCTTGTTGCCAGCTCTTTCTAGGGTACTGAGTCCAAAGAAGCCACAGTTTTAGATCTTATGATAATGACAGGAATTTTATAAAATTATGGCAATTTTAGAGAGGCTTACAATAAAATGCAACTTCAAAAAATAATCTCAACAAGTTTAAACTACCAATTCTTAAATAAATGTGAAACTCTTTAAGTTACCTGCATAAACTGCAGCTGACTGTTGCAAAGACTGAATTTGTCCACGACTGCATCCATATTTTTGATTAATTTCCTTTAAGGGAATTTCACTGATTAAATCTAATAGCACAAGGCTGGTGAAAAACCTAAAAAATAAATCACCAAAAGTGAGGTAAGACATCACTTATGTCTACTATGAGATACAATGTGCTGAAAAACGACTAAGAACCAAAAAGACAACAGAGGGTTTACATACTCTGAGAGGATTACTAATAGGAAATATGGTCAGTGAACAAAGAAAGAGATCAATGTTTACAAAACACATGAGTACCCTAATAAAGAACTAGACTTAGCACAACAAAAAGTCCTCATATTTCAATACTGCTAACTAATTTCAAGAAATAATACTTGGCTTCAGCTGGGCGTGGTGGCTTATTTTATAATCCAGCTACCTGGGAGGCAGAGATCAGGAGGAATGGAGTTCAAGACCAATCTAGGCAAAAGTTAGCTGGGTGTGGTGGCATGCCTGTCATCCCCGCTATGCAGGAAGCATAACTAGGAGGATCACGGTTCAGACTGACCTAGACATAAACGTTATGACCCTTTCCCAAAAATAATCAAAGCAAAAAGAGCTAGGGGTGAGACTCAAGCAGTAGAGCACCTGCCTAGTAAGCACAGGATAAGGCCCTGAGTTCGAACACCAGTACCACCACCACCAAAAAAAGACTTGGCTCAAGAAAATGTGGTGCAAAATTTTTAAAGAAAACTTCATACATGGTTATATGATCATCTTAGTCATATTTCAATAAAATGACAGAAACTAATCATAAAATCCAGTTTTCTTTTGGAAGGCAACAGTGACCCAAGTAATTTTAGTGTATAAATCCTTATAAAATTTATATTGACTGTGCTTAAATAACATACTATAAGAAAAATAGTTTTATTATACTTCAAAGAAGTTAAAACTTGTACAATGTTCCCAAAATCTTCATCTCTCTCCTGGTGATAATGGATTTACTTCCAAAGACATTACAAAGCATTATCCCAAATGAAGCCATAGGAAGTAAGTAGTTCTGATTCATGTCTTTGAGAAAGGGAAATAATTAAATATTCTGCTTTAACTAGTGCAACCACTCTGGAAAAAAATATGAAGGCTTCTTAAAAATCTAAACATAGACCTGCCATATGATCCAGCAATCCCACTCCTGGAGATATACCCAAAGGAATGCGACACAGGTTACTCCAGAGGCACCTGCACTCCCATGTTTATTGCAGCGCTAATCACAATAGCCAAGTTATGGAAACAGCCAAGATGCCCCACTACTGACGAATGGATTAAGAAAATGTGGTATTTATACACAATGGAATTTTACTCAGTCATGAATCTTATCATTTGCAAGTAAATGGATGGAATTGGAGAACATCATCCTGAGCGAGGTTAGCCAGGCTCAGAAAACCAAAAATCGTATGTTCTCCCTCATATGTGGACTTTAGATCTGGGGCAAATACAGCAATGTGGTTGGACTTGGGTCACATGATAAGGGGACAGCACATACGGGAGGTATGGGGATAGGTTAAGAAACCCAAAACATGATAGTATTTGATGTCCCCACTGCAGACTAACTAATATAGAAAACTTAAAGCAACAGAGGTCAATATGAGAAGGGGATCAGGAACCAGTGAAAAGGTGAGTTAGAGATGAATCAACTTGGGATATAACACATTTGTACATGGAAGCAATGCTAGGATTCTCTCTGTATAGCTATCCTTATCTCAACTAGCTTATACTTTCTCTTAAAAAAAAATTAGAGATAAGGGCAGAACAGATTCTGCCTGGAAGCGAGGGGGCGTGCAGGGGAGATGGAGGGGGTGGGAGCAGGGGGGAGAAATGGCCCAAACAATGTATGCACATATGAATAAACAAAATAAATAAATAAATATTCTGCTTTAACATCCTCATATGTAATGGCTGCTAAACTATAATGTGCAGGAAGAAATTAAATATCAATAGCCAGTAAATACAAGAAACTGAAAACTTTTACTGAAGTCAGCCAAAACTTTTATTTTATTGGCAGTAAAAGTGACTACAATAAATTGGACATCTACTGAATGCCAGATGCTGTGTTAAATACTAGAAAGTCCAGGCTCCTTGATGTTTACCTTTTATGGATGGCCATTTGTCGGTGATGTCTCTCAGTTCTGGCTACTACTTTTCCTTTCACACAGCGAGCCAAGAACCCTTCCTCAACTCCCACTAACTCTGCCACCCTTTTCATAGAAGTTGGCAACTTCTCCCATAAACAGAAGAATTGATACCAATCTATAGTAATCCAGTCTTCAAACATAGGTGTAACCTAAAGGGAAGAAGCATCACTCATTAGATAAAATTATTACGTTACAGTAGACTGGGGATGTAGCGGAGTTGTACAGTGCTTGCCTAGCATGTACAGGGACCTGGGTTCAAGCTCCAGCACTGCAAAATAACAAAAGAAACTACTGCATTGCAAAGGGAACAAAATTAAAAGTACAACTTCATAGTAAATATAACAAAATTAAAAGTATAAACTTCATAGAAAGACAAAGGACTAAGAATTCAGAAAAATGTTTAGGATGATACTTAATTTTTATGAAAATATCATTTATTCAAAAATAACTCAGTGCTGGGACAAAAGAAAAAGAGATCACTAAGCATGCAAACTGATTTCATAGAACCAAGTGTTTATGCATTTTTATTAGCATATATTAACTATACCATGGGGTTTCATTGTGATATTTCCAATGTACATAAGATCAAATTTATCTCCTCTATTACTTTTTCTTATTCTCCCTCTCACCCTTGTTTAAACAATTTTTTAACAGGTTTCATTATTCTATTTTCAAGAATTGAAGTTTTTAATCATAGACAATTTCAACTTCAATATTTTGACTCTAGGTACAATCTTAAGCATTTTGTATAATTTCCAAGAAAGAACCAGTAAAATACAAAGAGAGAAGTGAAAAAGAATCAACATTCAGAGTTGATATACTATCTACAAAAACTATGAGACGCATGAGAAAGAGGAAAGAATGCTCCAAACAGTGTGAAAAAGCAGGCAAAAGAAACACTTTGAGAGAATACAGATGTTAGAATAAGCAAACAAAGACTTCAAAGCAGACATTATAAATATGGCCAAAGAACAAAAGAAAACCATGGATAAAAACGCATAAGTCTATAATCCAGCACTCAGGAGGCTGAGACAGGAGGATTTGGAGTTGAAAGCAAGTCTAGACTATACAGTAATACCTGTCTCAAAAAAAGAAGTAAAAGAAAGCATGGTGACAATGTCTCATCAAGTTGAAAACACGCATAAAGAGAACATTATTGAAATAGGGGTTATATGGAAATTCTGGAGTAGAAAAACACAATAACTAAAATGAATAATTAGAGAACTCAACTGTATACCCAAGCTGGAATAAGAAAATCACAACATGAAGATCTGAAAAAAAGTAAGCCCAAACAGTATTTCTATTACACACTAAGAACCAAAGAGAGGAGATAAGGGTAATTGTGTGTATACATATTAAAAACTATAAAATTACCTATTTCCTCTTTCTTCTCTTGACTGATATAAAGACAACTATATGAACTGAAAGTAGAGAATAGAATAGTGATTCCAAGAGACTACTAGATGGGGAGAGAGAGGTTAAGCTGATCAAGGGTTATCCAAGCTTGTAAGGTTAAAGTGATGAAACCAAAGGCAAATTAAGGCAATCTCACACTAGAGCTCATAATCCTGGTCACTGTATAAAATATAACTTATTTTTAAAGTCATGGTGGATGACTGATAAAACCCACTCTGAAATTCTTCCTAGTCACATTTTAGGGTACAAAACATTTGTAAGAAAAATAATGGTACTGTCTAGACATTTGCCCTCTGCTCACTAGTTTTTTTGTTTTTAATTGAAGTGCATTTCCTAATAAGATGTTCATTTTAATAAATATTTCAATTTTATGTACTCATTTCTCATTAAGGTGCACACGTCTACTATTAATTGACAAAATAATTTCTGGTTAGGTTCTTGCAAATATGACCTTTACTTAATTCTTATCAAAATCTTTGTTGTAATTCATGGAGGAAGATCTAATGTAAAAAAACTTTAAAAATTCCTTATTGCAACAACTGAGGCCAATAGGAGAAGGGGACCAGGAACTAGAGAAAAGGTTAGATCAAAAAGATTAACCTAGAAGGTAACACACATGCACAGGAAATTAATGTGAGTCAACTCCCTGTATAGCTATCCTTATCTCAACTAGCAAAAACCCTTGTTCCTTCCTATTATTGCTTATACTCTCTCTTCAACAAAATTAGAGATAAGGGCAAAATAGTTTCTGCCGGGTATCGAGGGGGTGGGAGGGAAAGGGAGGGGGCAGAGTGGGTGGTAAGGGAGGGGGTGGGGCAGGGGGGAGAAATGACCCAAGCATTGTATGCACATATGAATAATAAAAAAATAAAAAAAACAAAAATTCCTTATTGCAAGCTGGATATGCAGCCTGTAATCTAAGCAGTTGGGAGGCTGAGGCAGGAAGATTGTGAGTTCAAGGCCAGCCTGGGCTATATAGACCCTGTCTCAAAAAAAATAAGAAATTAAAATTAAATATTAAAAAACAGTGAAAAAAGCAGAACTTACCAGATACACAATATGAAGGTCATTCTCTAAAACAAAGCCCTTCATTGCTCTTTGGAGGTCAGCAAAAATATCTAAGGTATCAGCTGGAGAGAGTGAAGATGAAAGAGTAGCTGATCCAAGATGTGTTGAATGATACACCTTTCCTGGTTTGAAAGTGGGGAATTACAGGAACAATGTGAAAAACAAAATAAAACATTGTCTTTCTGTATACATTAATTCTCTTGGCAATTATACATTTTATAAACAGAATTTTATCCAATGTGTAGAAATTATAAGGAAAATTAAAAATGTAGAGAAATTAAAATGGAGAAAATTGCAACTGAGAACTCCTATTTACCTCCTGTTCCATCACTGGCTTCTGAAACCTGGATGAATTCATTTTCTAGCAGCCACATCACACAGGCTTCAATTGCTCCAAGTTGAACAGAATCTTGATTTCTCTGAATTCTCTGCTTTCCTTCTTTCATACTTGCAGCCAAAAATGTGCAAGAAACATAAGTCTGCACATCTTGTGATGTATTTGCCACTCCACCAACTATTATCTGACAGAAAACGTTTGAAAATCTCTGTAATTTTTTATAAGACATGCAAGTCCTCATGATATAAAAGAGATGAAGGATTTTACCCTTTACAAATATTGTCAGAATCTTAATGTGGAGACTCTATTATCTCATCCATCACCACTCATTACAAATGTAGAAAATACCTGCTGACAACATGAAATCTTCCATAAAAGCAGACACAATATTTTCATGTAAACAAAATTAAATGAATCATTAGTTCACCTGAAATTTCAATAGAGGTAGTAATGACTCACAACCATGAACCAAATCAATTATTTTAAACATTCCTCTAAAATACATAGTCATACAGGAATGCTACTACTACCTCCTACCCAGAAGAAGGGTGGGAAAAAGTATAGAAAAATATAAGTCAGTTGTGTTTCATGGATATTATTTTCTCACAACTACCTTATTGTATATTCTAACTTGCTTCTTGCTTTCTTTTATTAATATGCATTGGACAAATATCATCAAAAATAGAACTATCTCATTCTTTTTTTTTTTTTTTTGTACTACCAGGGATTGAACTCAGAGCCTCATGTTTGCTAGGCAAGTGCTCTATCGCTTGAGCCATGTCCCCAGTCCTTTGCTTTTAGTTCATTTTATAGATGGGTTCTTGAGCTAGCTTTACTCAGGCTGGCCTTGGACCAGAGACCACAATCCTACTACCTTTGCCTCCGCAGTTATTCAGGACCACAAGTGAGTGCCACCAGGTGAGGCTTGTGTTTGAGATACAGTCTCACTAACTTTTGCCTGGGTTGGCCTTGACCACAATCTTTCTGCCTGTATCTCCTGAGTAGCAGGGATTGCATGCCCAGCCAAGGTTTTTATTTATTTTGTTGTTGTTTCTGTACTGGGATTGGACTTGCTAAGCAAACACTCTACCACTTTAGCCACTCTCTCTCAGTCTTCATTTTTTTTTAATGACCACAAAGCATGGTTTGCCATAATTTATTTAGTATTAATAATATTTGAGTTTTCTCAAAATTTTTTATTACTAATAGTGCTATATAAATATTCTTCTATATTTAATTCGATTGAATTTCACAAAAATATTTCTGGGTAAAATTCCTAGGTGTGAAGCAGCTAGACAAATGGGTAAATGCATTTTTTATTTTAATAAGTATGGACAAGATGCCCTCCAAAAGTTTCAACAGTATATCAAAAGTGCCTATTTTTGATATCTTCCTAACCCTATATTATCAAGTATTTTCCTTTTTATTCAAACTGAGAGTTAAAGAGTATGAGTCCAGTATCACTAGCACTAGTGCCGAAACCAATACCAAGGGATGCTGATATAAGCATAGAAAACTTTTCGGAATGGTTCATTAATATGAAATGCTGACTAGGGGTTACCTTTGAGGATAGTAAGCAGAAGAAAATTTTATTTTTCACTTTAGGTTTTTCTGTATTGTAAACTTTTTGTTTGTTTTTGTCTTGCTTTGCTTTGCTTTGTTTTTTTGAGTCAGAGTCTTGCTATGTGGCTCAGGCTTGAACTCCAGATCCTCCTGCCTCTGCCTCCCAAGTGCTAGGTTACAGATGTGTGCCACCATAACCAGCCCTTTTGTAAACTTCTTATATATATTTACTTGATCTTACTTTAATGTCCAGAGGTATTATCTGGATAGAAGAAGTAGGATACATTTTTGTTATCTTTTCTTTAAACTCAAAAAGCAATAAAAAATATACTAAAAAGTAAAAGATGGGCTGAGGTATAGCTCAGTAGTAGAATGCTTGACTTGCATGCACAAGGCTCTGGGCTCGATCCCTCAAAAAAGAACCAGGTGGCATTTGTTTCTTAACCATTGTTTTGAAATGGATTGATATAGTACTAGCTGTATTAAACTCCAGGAAATAACTACATATTCATATATATGCATATATATTATATACTATACATAATGTACATACATTATATATTAATTCATATGTATTTCATACCGTATACTGTAATATATAATATACGTACATATACATATGAAATACTTATAGATTAAGACTTAGAAAGGCTATAAATATAACAATCTTAAAAAAACCCACAAAACTAAGATTTTCACATACTGAAATTTAACATAGGCATACAGGAGCAAATGGTCATTTGTTGAACTCTCTTACCTCCAAAACAGCTCGTATCATGCTTGGAGTTACTTCTTCTCCTTCTCGTCTTTGCAGACAACTGTGAACAGGTTTTAGAGATCCCTGAAGTAGAGCAATGCCTTTTGATTTCTCAGAGTTCTTACAAATTAAGATACTCTCACCTATGACCAAAAACCATACATTTTCAAAACCCAAACATATTTCTATAAGATATTTGCTAAAGATAAATTAAGCTGCCTTACAAAAAGGAATGAGAGACACTAGTGGTTGTTATGGTCACAGAATACAAATATACCTGGAAGTGGGGAAGGCGGTAGGGGGAAGGTAGCCCAAACAATGTATACTCATGTGAATAAATGTAAAAATGATTAAAAAAATATGTATCTATACACAACAACTTCCTGGTTAGGACTCCAATAAATCAGGAAATAATAGCAAGAACTGACAAATGGGAACACATCAAATTAAAAAGGTGAATGCAAAGGAAACAAAACTACTGTATGATTCAGCTATCCTATTCCAGGATATATACCCAAAGGAATCAAAGTCAGCATACAGTAAAGATTCCTGCACACCCATGCTCATTGTAGCACTATTCATAATACCCAAGTTGTGGAATCAACTTAGGCATCCATTGATGGATGATAAAGAAAATGTGATAAACACACACAAACACACACACACACACACAAAGTGGAGCTTTATTTAGCCATAAAGAAGGAAACGATGTCATTTGTAGGAAAATGGATGAAACTGGAGATCATCACATTAAGTGAAACAAACCAGACACAGTAAAATAAGTATCACATGTTTTCTCACATATATGGAATCTAGATTAAAAAAAAAAAAGACATGAATGTAAAGGGGAAACTATTAGGGGTCCAGGGGCCAGGGAGGGATCAGCAGAAGGGAGGAGGTGATATAACATGGTACTGGGTGGGGTGAATATGATTAATGTACATAGTATTGCTTGTATGAAAATGTCACAATGAAACCCATCCCCCAATAGAAGAAAAACATTTTTAAAATGTGGAATAGCCACACAATGAAAGAGAGGAAGAGAGAAGGAAATCAGAGCAATGGCATATGTGTATGGACACCAACACAAGGACATAGGATTAAAAAGAAATCAGGAAATTATGATAATTCCAACAGAAACCAACAAAGTTCCAACAACAGACTCTAAAGAAATGGAAGCTCTGAATGAACAGATGAAGATTCAAAATAATTCTCTTAAAGAAGTTCTGTGAACTATAAGAATATACAGATAAAAATCAAATGAAATTTGAAACACAAAACATGAACAAAATGAAAGGTCTGACAAATAGATACAATAAAGTAGGAGTCCTAGCAGTGAAAAACAGAATGATTATACTATAAAAAGTTTCAAAGCAGGCTGAACAAGTAAAAGAACAAACTAGCCAGGCACCAGTGGCTAGTCCACTGTACTCTGGTACAATGGTTAATGAATTAAAATAAGTATAGCTAAATTTGTCAAGGGACAACAAATTGCAAAATTATGTAACTGTTGACATTAAAAACATAAAATGGAGTGGAGGAGTTAAGTATAGAGTTGTCAGCTTAAGTTGTCAGCTTGAAATAGCCTGTTATGTTTTATATAAGCCTCATAACGAAACCACAAGTGGAAAAGATCCAAAGCATACCATTACAGTTTTCTGTAACTAAACTATCAAACTTACAAAGGAAGGCAGCAAGAGATGAAGAAACAATATACACGAAAGCAAATTATAAAATGGCAAATTATATAAATGGCAACAGGTCCTGGCTCACAACAATTTAGTAACATACCAAATGAAAGAATAGATTTGAGGTGATGGCTTTTGTTTCAACATTTAATTCAAACAAACTCTTCTTTATTTCTTAAGTCAAAACTTTTATTTGGATTGCAGTAATATTATCAGTACTTGCAAGTACAAGATAAGAAACTGACAGGATGTTTTCAGAGCAGCACCAACATGGAGAGAAAAAGATGGATATGAAGCTCCTATTCCCAAGGTGTGAAAGTGCATCCCTGTTTGACTTGAGACCAGTCACCTAAGCAGAATATCCATGGAAATTAGCATTAAAGAGTAGACATGGAAATTAAAAACCATCTCCTAGCTAATGTGATAAGAAATCTTATTGATTTGTGTAACATTGTGTTAGATAAAATACAAAAGAAAATCTTAATTCCACATTTGTAGAAAACCAGTGGTTGACAATAAATGAAAATTATAACTTATATTCATTATAAAATTAAGTGACTCCCTAAGGATAATATTAGTACATTGAATGATAAAGAAATATAACACAATGAGAAATAGGTTACCAGGTACTAATTGAACTTCAGGTAGACTAAAGCTATCCTTCACTATTAAAATTAAATTCAAACTCACCCATTGTATCTACTCCTTTTCTGCACACGGCCAAACCAATCTGCTTTGTAAGTTAGAATATCTAGAGGGGCGACCACTTGAAAATTGGAGTCCAATATACACGCCGTCAGGTAAATTACCCCAGAAGAAAGAGTAGAAGTTGCTGCCAAGACCCGAATGAGACCTTGACGGAAGGCTCCTTCAATGATATCCCTCTCCTCGAAAGTAAGACCTAAAACAGGAGATTCCATAACATTATTTATTATTATATAATGAGAACATTATACTCTACCTCTTACAAGTGCATCTGAGTCTACCACAAGTCTCTAAAGATGTTTAATGCTATTGTTACAACTATAAACCAGGAAGTAATCATACTACCTACTTAAGAGTATAATCTGGCCAGGAGTTTTGGCATATACCTGTAATCTCAGCTACTCAGAAGGCCAAGATAAGAAGGATCATGGTTCAAGGCCAGCCCAAGCAAAAAAGTTCACAAGACCTCATCTCAATAAACAAGCCAGATTTTGTGTTCCCATGTAATAGTCCCAGGTAACAGGAGACATAGTAGGAGGATTCACAATCCGGTCATCCCAGAGCAAAAACACCGAGACCGCTTGAAAAAATAACTAAAGCAAAAAATGGCTGAGGGTATGGCTCTAGTGGTAGAGTGTCTGGCAAGCACCTGGATTTAACTTTAAAAACCTCAGTACTAATTGAACTTCAGGTAGACTAAAGCTATCCTTCACTATTAAAATTAAATTCAAACTCACCCATTGTATCTACTCCTTTTCTGCCAGCACGGCCAACCATCTGCTTGTAAGTTAGAATATCTAGAGGGCGACCACTGAAAATTGGAGTCCGAATAATCACACGCCGTGCAGGTAAATTCACCCCAGAAGAAAGAGTAGAAGTTGCTGCCAAGACCCGAATGAGACCTTGACGGAAGGCTCCTTCAATGATATCCCTCTCCTCGAAAGTAAGACCTAAAACAGGAGATTCCATAACATTATTTATTATTATATAATGAGAACATTATACTCTACCTCTTACAAGTGCATCTGAGTCTACCACAAGTCTCTAAAGATGTTTAATGCTATTGTTACGACTATAAACCAGGAAGTAATCATCTGACCACTTAAGAGTATAATCTGCAGGAGTTTTGGCATATACCTGTAATCTCAGCTACTCAGAAGGCCAAGATAAGAAGGATCATGGTTCAAGGCCAGCCCAAGCAAAAAAGTTCACAGACCTCATCTCAATAAACAAGCCAGATTTTGTGGTTCCCATGTATAGTCCCAGGTACACAGGAGACCATAGGTAGGAGGATTACAATCCAGGTCATCCCAGAGCAAAAACACGAGACCCTTGAAAAATAACTAAAGCAAAAAATGGCTAAGGGTATGGCTCTAGTGGTAGAGTGTCTGGCAAGCACATGGATTTAACTTTAAACCTCAGTACTACCAAAAATAGGGGAGTGTAATCTGCTACCCCTAATATATTTCATCTTTTAGGCCCAAGGTCAGCAAACTTTTCCTATATTTTAGGTTCCTCTTATTTTAGGAGGAATAGGTGGTCTCTTTTGCAACTACAAACAGCCACAGAACAAATGTGTTCTAAGAAACTTATTTACAAAGAGAGGTGGTGGGCTAAATTTGACCAGCAAACTATTGTTTGCCATCCCCTGTTCTTCCATATGTGTGTATATATATATTTAAAATTTTTAAATTTTAGCATGATAAAAATTACATATAAAAGCCAATAAAAATGTAAAATAAATTGAAAGGGAAACTATTACTTTTTCTTCAATATACCATAATCTGTTAAAAGCAGGACAACCTATCCATTTGATTTTTAAACACTTCTAGCTGTCTCTAAAACAATATGACAATTTCTAAAAATAAATTTGATTTTGATATATCTCTGTAAGAATATTTCAAAACTCAGAGATAAAAAGAGACATAAAGTGGCATAAAATAAGAGCAGCATATACAACTCTAAACAAAGGACAGAAAGGTAAATCTTTAAAATTTACTTCCACAATGGTTCAAAAAAAGTCTTTTACCTAGCATCTATATACTGCACAGATAAGTAAATTCAAAAATGTTTATTTTACTCTTGACTATCAAAGACATACCATTTATTAAAATGAAATCTAAAAGTATTTTTCTGGCTAACAAAAAATAAATGTACATACATATAAAAATTAAGAAATTATAAGAACTTTTGGAGAGGGCTTCTTAATAACAGATTAAAAATATAGAGTACCTGCATGATGAAATGCTACTCCCCATGGTACAGTTTTTTGTAACATTAAGTCCAGACCTGCAGGGGACCGTTTTAACTGATCCATCACTTCCAAGAGGCCCTTTTGTTCTAGAATCACTGGTGGAAATTCAGATGGTTTTACCAATCCTGTCAGGTACACACAAAAAATTGTCAACACCTCAATCCTATTCACTTTTTGAAGTGTTACCTTCAAAAAGTCATGACAGAGATAAATTACAGGGCAGTGGTTCAAAAATTGCTGCATACTATCATCATCTAAAAATACTGATCTCTGACACTGTGATGTGACTGGTAGAGGATGTGACCTGAACCAAAAGAATTTTTAATCCTTCTAGGTAATTTAATGTGCACCAAAATTTAGGAAAACTCTGCATTAGAGTGACACAAACTCTACAGTTTGGGTCAAAGGAACCTGCTGAAGGAAGAAAAGGATTACCAATACTGATTACCACTCAAAGCCTAAAAATCAAAACCCTCACTTAAGAGGTTTTGCTGATACTGATACTCAGCAGTATCAGCATCACGTAGGGGTCTAAGTTCCCTATGAAAGGCATCTTTAGTGCCTCATTGGCACTTGTCTGATAATCACATGCTACCTTCTGGTTTTGCCTCGCTGTGTAACCTTCTCTCCCAGTAAGATTTTAACTTCAAACTCAGGATTTTATTTCTTAAAGAATTTCCTAGACTTTTAGATTCATGAACTTATAAAACATTTCAGTAAAATATATTTAAATATATATCGTATATTTTACATATATTTAAATCTCTACGTAAACTTTTCTTAACATTTTGGGGGGTCAAAAGTTGCCAATGCTAGAGATAATTAAAAATACTTTTAAACTATCATTCATCAATATCATTATTTCAAAAGAAATCATTTTAACAATATAAAATTACTATGAATAATTTTAAATTTTAAACTTCAGCTTTGGGCTGGAGGTATAGCTCAAGTGGTAGTGGTAGAGTGCTCACCTATCAAGTGCAAGGCCCTGACTTCAAACCCCTGGTCTCACACACACACACACACACATACTTCAGCCAGTGGCTCACACCTGTAATCCTAAGTACTTGGGAGGCAGAGATCAGGAGGATCACAGTTCAAAGCCAGCCCCAGCAAATAGTTCACAAGACCCTATCTCAAAAAAACCCTTCACAAAAAAGGGCTGGTAGAATGGCTCAAGGTGTAGGCCCTGAGTTCAAACCCCAGTACCACCAAAAAAATAACTTAAAATAAATATTAACTTCAGCTCTATGAAAAATGTTTCTGCTTTATTTTTACTTTTCTGCTGAAAATTTCTTCATGGACCAGATTCCAGTGTAAGCACTAGCATTTGGGAGCTAGTTATAGAACAAAATAACACAACCTCATGGAAACCAAATAAAGAATATATAAACACTTAAAAAAACATAATATTTTTTAAATCTGAAGATGATTAATTAGCCTGAGTGTACAAACACATTGTTTTACAATGAAGACAGGAAAGAATTAGAATCGTGAAAGCATAGTCTTGTAAACAGCATCTAGTGGACAGGTGGTGGCAATGATGTTACAGTCATGCTTTGTTAATATGATCACTAACTTTGTTTTCAAGCAAATATGTGATAGATGGAGGCTTTCATTTCTACCTATAACTCACCCTCAGCTTGTTGGTGCAGATTACAAAACTCTCGGGCAATGGTGTCTGCCAGTTTCTCACACCATTTTTTTGATGGACAAAAAAGTAATACTGAATGGTTATCACAAATGGTCTCATAACATAAACTAACAACGTGGTCCTCATCTCCCTAAAAAAAGAAAGAGAAATCACTGCTTCAGTGGAATCTTCAAGACATTATCACATATGTTTAAAATCCCTCATTTTGCTTCATGAGAAAGGTTTTTCTACCCAAAGGCATAATAAAAATCAGGTACAAAGTCAGTAACAAAACAAAACAAAAACAGAACAAGAAGAAAAAACAAATAAATTTCCTTATAATTCAGAGTGAGGAAATGGCTTTATGTGTTCAACTAACATTTACTGAGCTCCACACCTCAGGCAATGGGATACAGTGATGAGTAAAAGAAAGTCAAGCTCCTGATTTCAGATGATTGATCTTCTCTCTCAGAGACACAATAAAATACTAACCAAATGTAAAATTCAACCAAAAGATGAACTGAAGAAGAGCTTAACAATGTTTTATGGTCTCATATTAGACAGAAATTTGACAAAGACCTGAAAAAGGTTTTCCTGAGGAAATGATTTCACTGAAATATCAAGGAAAGACATTATCTCAATAAGTGCCACATTTTCCAAGCAAAACAAAGAACATGTGTTAATGTCCTGTGACAGCCTGCAACTTCTCCATACTGGAAGTGTCAATGCATCTAACTAGGCTAATTAATTCATCCTTCAATCCACTCATTACACAATTTAGTAAATGTCAGACATTGTTCTAAGAGCTTGGGATGAAGCAGAAAAAAATGTCCTGTTCTTGCATTTCTATTCCAACAGGAAAAAATAGATAACAAAGGTAAGTGAAATTTATAGTACAGATTACACATGGTTTTAACTAAATATAGCCAAAATAAGTAAGTAAAAGTAATTTCAAAAACAAAAATTTTAATTCCTACACATGCATTATGCAGTTCAGTTGAGCCCAAGAAGCTCTCAGTCAGTCCCATGTTATCGTCAGTTACATTTAAATCACTGTGTGATCTGCTATTTCCTTGGCCTTATTTTTTTTTAAGAATATGCCTCACAAAAAGCAAATAATGTCCAAAAAGCAAATGGTGTCCAAAAAACAAGGCAAAAATGAATGTGCTTAATTTAAGTGATAAAATGAAAATTTAGCTGTGTTGAAATGGCATGTCTTTAGGGAAAAGTAGGGTGCATTATGGGAAAAAATGAATCAATCATCCACAGTATAGTACTGAACTCTATGCATTCTGAGCACTGTCACTTTTTCGTCAATGGCAGACTCCTTGGAACCATATATTCATGGATACCAATGGTCTACTGCATGTTCAATTTAAAAAAGTATAAGGGGAAAAATTAAATAGGGAAGATAACTATGAAGCAGGAGCACACTGTAGTCTAGACAAGGTGGCCAGAGAAGGGCTAGAAAAGTGACACCTGGGTCAAAATACAATGGCAAACAAGTAAACCATACTGATGCCCAAAGGGAAACAAGCTCAGAAGAAAAGAACCTGACGTGGGAGATTCTTGGCACGTTAAGGAAGGGCAATGAAGCCAGTGTGAAGAGACGAGAGGGAATATACTAGGTGGCATCAGAGCACTAAAGGGGTGGGGTCTGATCATACAGGGTCCTGTTGCCTGTTTCGAAGACATTGCCTTTTTTTTTTCTAAATGAAACAGAGCCATTGCAAGTTTCTGAACAAATGGATTAACATGATCTGATGTTCATTTTAAATAGATCATTAGCTCCTGATGGAAGCACAGACTAAAGGGGGTTAAGGTCAGAAGCAGAGAGAAAATTAGAAAGCTGTTTCAATTATCCAGATCAGAAGTGAGAGTGGTTCAAATAGGGTAGAGACACAAACATAGCAACAGAAGGTTAATGAGAGAGTAAATGAATATGTTTAACATACAAGTTTATTGAGGTGACCAAGACAAAGCAGGTGAAACAGGGTACAGAGCAAAGCAACTGATAAAGATTCCATATCAAGCACATAAAAGCTGCAAATGCATGCTATGAAGATACTGACACACATAAATTTAGTCCTGTTTCCTACTCTAAAAGGATCCTTAGCTATGTATGTACTCAGAGGCACAATTCTACATAAATATCAAAGACCACTTCACAGATGTACATAATCAGTTCTTTAACTTCAGGATTAAAGAATTAGGCTTAGAAAATAAAAGAAAAAAATGCCAGATAAAAATTTTAGTGTATTTAGGGGTATAAGAGAGAAGTTACCATTTATCAAGTACTCTCTACATTCTAGACATTTAGGATATTACACATCATGCTTTCAACAGTACTAAAGATAAGTATTACATTCTATCCTTTAAATGGAAGATAGGAAGTTAAGAGGGATTTTGTGATGTAACTAAGCCATACCATTTATCTCTATTAAATGCCAGAGAAAGGCCAGTCTGATGCCTAAAATATTCTGCTCACTCTGTACATTATATTATACCTACTATTTAATAATTGTCCACATTAGTCTCTAATGTAAACTAAACCATATGAAAACCTTTTCCTAAATAGAAAAAAAAAATCCACAAAATTAGGTACTTTTTAAAAAAATGTCTATATATTAGGAAATGAGGACCATTTAAATTAAAAGCACAACTACATTCCCTCTCTTACTATCACCATCAATCTTTTTAGGTGAAACTGATTAGCTTGATATTAATTTTAATGGGTATACAATAAACATTCCACTACTTTGTAACTGTTAATTATATAATTCAAAAATTGTTAACAGCTTGTTAGAAAATGCAAAGATACTGACATTGGTGATGCAAAAGTCATGATTTACCTTCACTTGTAGCATGGGTTGAAATTCCCTCACAACTTTCATTGAAGAATCATATACAGAATTTCCAATTTTTACTAACTCCAAAAGTGGTACAGGACGAAAGTCAGTATGGTAGAGTTCAGCATTCAACCAGGAAGCCACAAGCTCCAAATTAGGAAGAGTAGCACTCATGCCAACAATCTGCACAGCGTTTGACAGAGGACTAGCTGAACCTACCTGACTGTGAAAAACAAATGAAAATAACATTAAAAAATTAACAAGTTGTGCTGCTAGCAATATTCCTGGTCATGGCCTTCATTGCACTAGCCTACATTTCCTTAAAGGATAGACCTAGGAACTAAATTACTGGATTACAAATTACTGGATCACACATCTTCAAGTTATAGATAATGCCAAACTGTTTTCAGGAGATATACCAAAGTAACACTCCCAAATCTGTGTGTTCTCTTGTTCCAAAATCCTGTCACCACTTGGTATTGTTAATCCTTTTAATGTTAACCATTAAGGAGAGTATATGGCAATATTTGTTTAAAGAAAAATTTAACCAGGTGATACATGCGCATAATCCCAGCAGGAGAAATTTGACACCAACTGGGGAAAGGTAGCAAGATCCTATCTCAAAACAAAAGGGCTGGGGGCAGAGCTCACGTGGTAGAGCTTGCCAGGCAAGCACAAGATCCTGGGTTTAATCCTCAATATAAATAAATAAAGAAGTAATGTGTATTTCCCTGATTACTGATGAAATTGAGCACCATTTCACATTTATGGACTATTTGGATACTCTTACAGATGCCTATTCAAATTTCTCACTGACATATTGAATTGTGTTTTTCTTATTTACTTGTAGAATAAAACAATAAAAAAAAAAAAAAAGAAATCACTTGTTCACTTTGTAAGGCTAAAATCAGGAAAAAATGCACATCTCTTTTCTGCATGGTTTGCCAGTGGTCATGGACAGATTTGTGGTGAAATGTAAATAGTGCCCCCCAAAAAATATCCTATCACATTCCACTACTGATAGAAAAGGGCCTAGAAGGCACAAGTTCACTGGGAGTCTACAGTGATGGAGCCAATATTCACTGCACAGCTGTGAAAAATATTAAAAAATAATAATAATAAAATAAAATATTCTTGATGGTGACTTTCCTCTTTCAGTAATTTTTGTTCATTTTTAAAAAATCATTTCTGCCCTTCTGCTTCCTGTAGCATTACTTTATTATTGTTTTTTTGAAATTCTTGCCATGTATAACTAAGTAATTGGTTTTCAGTCTTTCTTCTTTAATGATATATACATTTTATACCGTCAATTTCCTTTTAAAAACAATTTTAGTTGCATTTCACAAGTCTGTGTTAAGAGACATTTTTACAGTTCGAAATATTTTCTAATTTCTATTGCATTCTTATGACATAAAACTGAATACAAAATGTATTAATTAATTTCCAAACATACAGGTATCTTCTAGTTATGCTTTCTTACACTTCTTTTTAGCTTAATTCCTCTGTTACCAGAAAATATACTTTAAGTGTTTTCAATCATTGAAATATGTTAAGGCTTAGTTTATGGCCAGCATATGGTAAATCTTTTTATAAATGTTCCTTGTGAAGCTGAAAAGAACTTGTACTCAGATTTTTGTTTTGGTTTGGGGTTCTTGTTTCTTTTTTTTTTGACACCAGGTCTATTTATACAGCCCAAAGTGGCCTTGAACTCCAGATCTTCCTGCCTCAATTTATTGAGTGCTGGGATTACTGAGTGTACCACCATGCCCAGCTAATCTGATATTTTGATATTGCCCTTGTGCCTTGACCATGCTGTAGACAAGAACTCTAATCACTGAACAACATCCTCAGACCAGATCTAATACTTTTGCTCATTAGCTCAAATTTACTGATTATATTAGCCATATTTTCCATATCCCTAGCCATTTGGGATATAGGTGGTTATCTGCTTGGTCTATCACATACCAAGAAATGTGTTCAAGTCTCCCAACACAGGAAAGAACCTGTTCCCTGCTCACATAACAAAAGAAAATAACCCAACACCAAGACACATTAGTATGAAATTTCACAACCCTGGGGAAAAAGAAGAGCTCCTAAAACTCACAGAAAGAATTTTTAAACACCCACGCACAGGAAATCAATGTGAGTCAATGCCCTGTATAGCTATCCTTATCTCAACCAGCAAAAACCCTTGTTCCTTCCTATTATTGCTTATACTCTCTCTACAACAAAATTAGAAATAAGGGCAAAATAGTTTCTGCTGGGTATTGGGGGGGGAGAGGGAGGGGGCGGAGTGGGTGGTAAGGGAGGGGGTGGGGGCAGGGGGGAGAAATGAACCAAGCCTTGTATGCACATATGAATAATAAAAGAAAAATGGGAAAAAAAAGTACTATAAAAACCAGTAATACCATGAAAAAAAAAAAAAAACAAACTTTGAACAAAGGATGAAGGATGGTCATGACACTGGATTTATCAATAATACAAGAAAATAATGCCTTGACAACTCTTTTAGAGTTTTCTTTTAGAAAAATACTTCCAAATGTATATATATTTTCTAAAATACATTTTGGAAGTATTCCAAAAATACTTCATTTTCATATGTGGACAATCTATGAAATACTTGTAAGGCATTTTTAGACACATAAGTTCTCAAAAATTTATTCCCAGAATAGTGTGTTCATTGAAAAAAAAAAGTGGAACTTCTTAGAAAATATCCCCACCAAAATAAAGAAGTAAATCAAAGGAAAAACATGTGGTCCAAAAAAAGGGACTCCATCTCAAGCAAAAAGCAATAGAAATAAATGGTAAAGAAAAGGAGATCCCAAGATGACTGCTGTGCAGCACGTGGGTAGACTCTGTCTCTCCAGATTGGAGCAACTCAGAGGCATCAGAAGAAACTTCTTCAAGATGACAACTTGGGTAGAACAGCAAATGTGCTAGAACATATGATCGAGGATTTACACACTAGGGAAAAAGAGATAAATTCGTGATATGCACCTGGAAAAACAAGCCATCAAACAAGAAAGATACTTATTAATATTAGAGAAAACTAAAAATTTTTTCTAAAGGTAAAAATAATCACAGTGTAGTATAGCTCAGTTGACAATAATGCTCACAGAATTATATTACTGTAACACTGAACAACAATCTAAGCAAAATTATATTTGAAGAAGGTGAAGATGATGACAGGTCAAGAAGAGACTGAAGAAGATGGGGGAAGAGACTGACTATTGGTGAGCAGAGAATATAAAAGAGAGCTAGATCTTCATCTACCAGTATAAGAAATCAATATTTAACCTCTAAAACTAAAAGTTCAAGAAGCCACATGTAGAGATACTGCAGTAAATAGAAAATAAAAATAAAAGAGCAAGAATTAAAAGTACTTACCTCTGAGAAGTGGGGGTTGAAGAAATGCTATTTTGCAAAATTAGTCTTTCTACTTAAATTATATGTATGTATAATTGACCAATACAAAACTAAATTTTTAAAAATCTATCATAAAAGTGTGTGCATGGAAATAAAATTAAGCAATTTAATTTTAAGAAATTTAAGACTATTTACAAAATCATCTAACATCAGATTACATAAGTCTGACATACTTATCTTGGAACAAGAACAACTACTATAAAGAATTTGTTCTACTTAAGAAAAGTCCTACTTTTCTTTAATTCAACTCATACTTTTACACTCTTATACACTTTCTCAACATCATTTGGAATCTCAGAAACTCAGTTACTTCATTTACTCACCAAGATGCTGACTTCTGAGTAATATAACAAATCTTGGTCAGCAGAAGTTCCAGTAGATACCCTCGGTGAGAGTCTCCTAGCATGTGTAATTCATCAACAACCACCATTCCTAAAAAGATTTTCCAGATACTAGGTTTTCTACAATTTCACAATTCTAAATAGCATTTTAATATTTAATATCTTATACAAGGAGCTGTCATTATAATATGCTTTAAATGAAACAAATTTCAAACAATAAAACAAAAAACATAATGGCCAATTCTTTTCCAAAATGGTTTAGGTATCATAAACAGGCCTATTCCCATGCATTCTGGATCTAAAAAAAAAAATCAATGATTACCTTACTCAGGACTAACCAAACCAATGAAAAGTGCCTCTCATTACTCAGACATTTCTAAATTGGTAATCTTATAGAAATAAGTGCACAATAGACATTTATCTGGTTTTACTGACTTTTTCTATGAGGAACCAATCATACTCATGTTGCTTAGGAAAATCAAAATTGGGGTCAAGAAGAAAAATGATTTTAAGAGATTTTTAAAAAGATGATAGGCTAATATCACCCTATTACAAAACCTAAACATGATCATAATGCCTTTCTCCACTACTTGGAAAATTAAACCAAGTCGATGCACTTGGAATAAATAATGCTCAAGAATTACTGAAAATTTAGAATTAATCATGCCTTCTTAAATATTTTCACAACATCAATGTCTCAAAATGCACTGGTGTCCCCTAAACAAATCTCTCACCAAAATAAAGATCTTACAGACATCTTCCTAATGATGCTTTCTTTTTCCTTATCATTAAGGTATGCCCAAATAAAACCATATGACACTTATTCTATCTAGTGTGCCAAGCACTGAGCTAGGTACACTGGATAAAACACTTTATAAGATTCTATTAAAATCCTCAAGATAATTAGGATCCAATGGGGTCACAAGTAATAAAACAATTTTCTTTTCTTTTCTTTTTTTTTTTTTTGGCAGTACTGGAATTTAATCTCAAGGCTCTATCACCTAAGCCATATCACGAATTTGTTTTTCAGATAGGATCTTACACTTCTGACTAGGCCAACCTTACACCTCAAACCTCCTACCTCTAACTCCAAGTAGCTAGGATTGCATGTGTGAGCCACCACACTCAGCCTGTCTTTGAGATAGGATCTTCGTCACTTTTGCCTTGAACCAAGATCCTCCTATCTCTACTTCCCAAGTAGCTGGGATTACAGGTATATATCACCACATACAGCCAGTAAAGCAATTCTGATACAAACTCTGATTTCTCTTTCCCGGCTTTATAGAGCAGAGTCCATGTCTTACTAATCTTTGATTGCTAACCTTCACCTATACCCTATCACAATTTTACCATGGTACTTTTAAGTTCAACTAAGCTGATATTTCTTGCACTTACGCTACTACTACAACCATTCTCTTCCTGTTGCTACCTCTATCTAGTGGCCTTTCCTTAGTGGTTAAGAAATACATTAAGACAGAAAATCTTCACAGTCTCTCCAGCACAAATAGTTTCTGTAGTTCTCTATCATTTCTGATGAACAGTAGCCTATGAGTACAGGTCTAACCTAAATACCATAGAACCAAGTGATAGAGTGCCTGCCTAGATACCATAGCATTAGAATATAAGGAAGACACATACAACACTAATTGCAGGGATGACAGATCCAGCCTCAGTATGCTTCTCTCTCTTCTTGACGAAATTTAGACAGGACAGAAACAATGAGGAACGACAGATGCTCAGGGATGTCCTCTATAGTTTTTAAACTATAGTGGAGTTATTAACAGCAGCAGAACAGAAAACTTAAACTTTTCTATACACAGTTTCCAACTTACAGATGCCAATTCTTGCCTCCAGAAGTAGATGACAGACAAAAGAACAACATGGGAAAAACAGAAATCACAATAGTACCATTTTATTTCATCAAAAATAACAATAGAAAGTATTTGCTTAATTTTCTAATTTTCTTACCTAACAAATCCATCTCATTTTCCTCTATGAGGCGATTAACCAGCCCATTGGCTCTCTCAATTGTGCAGACAGCAATATCCAAAGAAGAGAAATGCCTTGTTGGAGAGGTACTGCCCATATAACCATCTACTTTTATTCCTACTTCCTGAAACAGACTCTGAATTGAGTAAAAAGAAACAATATAGGGGAAAAATTAATAATCATGAGTTATAGATTATATCCCAGAACAGAAAATAGACATAAGTATCTAAAGACCTTTATCAGATTACTGTCAATTACTCTAAGAAACAATAATTTATAAAATCATATTCTAAAAATAGGAAGTTTAGAATTGACAAAGCTCAGTATAGAGATTTCTGTTAATACAGTGAAATAAAATAAAAAGTCATTTTCATGATAGTGGTTAATAATCTAAGTTCTAAGAGCTATTTATAGAGATTAAAATTGGGAGAAAAATTACCTTACACATTAACACTTTTAATCTAATAAACAGCAAGAGACCAGTCAATTTTAAACACTCATATAAATTTTGTTTTTGTTTTTGAGTCAGGGTCTCTCTGTGTAGCCCTGACTGGCCTAGAACTCAAAATCCTCCTACTCCAGCCTCCCAAATGCTGGGCTTATAGTTGGGTATCACTTTACCCAGCCTAATAGAACATCTTAAAGAAAAAAATTCACACTCCATAAGAAAAAGTCTTATTATCCTACTAAAAACCAGGTTTTTTATATAATGGAAGAAAAATTTTGAAAGTCAAAGCCAATGGGACCTTGATATTAATTTTTTTTTGAGTTTAACTTTTAACTAACATACCTTCTCAATAAAAAGGATTCTTTCATCATTTTGTTACTTTGGGTCTAAGTTGAGATGATGTAGGACCAGCTTTGTTGACTATTTGGCCTCTGAAATAATTGTTAAAAAGATTTATAGAACCATAGAACTTTAGAGCTGTTTGTTCAATAAATTTCTTCTGAGCGTTTACTGAGTTAATCCATAGTGTTAAGGGTTAAAAGCCTCCCTTTATAATAAAAAACACTGATTGAAGCAGAAGACATGGTTAGTGGTAAAACTGGGACTAGAACCCAGATTTTTTGGCTTATCAGTACAATGATCTTTCCATTCCAACAACACACAGCATCACTGCAGAAATCACAGTAATAAAATATATTCTATTTAATGAAACACTTTGTGAAAATGCCTTAAAAACTAGTAAGTACATACTGATGTAAAATATTACTCATTCCTGCAGGAAAACGGACCACAGACCTGGAAGATAGGATAGGCTTCCTTAAATAAACTTTTCTCTCCATGCTTCAGTCTAGTCCTACTATTCCTTAAAATGCTGTTTCTTCATTTGCACAGCTATGTGCTAATTGAAGTATACTGTTTAGTTCCTAAGAAAACGTTTATAAATCTTTATACAATGTTCACTAAGTAATGTCTTGATTTGACGGCCCTTTCTCTTTCTTGAAATAATTTTTTTGTTTCCCACATTAATCTTTTAACACTTTTAATGGTCAATTTTTAAAGCTGCGTTGAATACAATAAAAGAAACTTTGTTTTCCACTTGCTTTTATCATTCTGTTTCAAATGAATAAACCAAAGCTACCAATATTTCAAACTTAATATAAGAACATTACCTGGAGATAGTATTTCTTCTCTTTGGCTACAGAAACAAAGGGAAGAATAAACAAAGCTTTCTTTCGCATTTCCAAAACCCGCTTCAAAATAAGTAGTTCTGCAACAAGAGTCTTCCCAGCACTTGTAGGAGCTAAAACATGATTATTTCACAAAGTTATTTCAAAAAGTAATATTTGGTACACTGCATTCATAAATGTTTTAAGCCATATCCAGAATTACAGAGCCTAAGGCTAACGGATTATTAAGGCCTCAGCCAGCATTTGAAATCTTTATACCCTGAAATGTCCCTGACTTTAAATCAGCTCTCTAAATAGTCTTGCACTAAAAATAGATTTTAATATTTGTATCACCAATACATGACAGATTTTATCGTGTACCTCGCTTGTGCCTAAAGATTCTTTCCTTTAAGTACTGAATGGTTAAAAGTCCTACCTTGAGGAAGTAAATGAATCACTTTATCATAATATAATAGGAACTATAATAGAGGTTGAAGGAGTGAAGCTGTAAGGAAGTTTATGGAAAGGAAACAGAACTTATGAGAAGGGAGGAGGAAAGGGAAGCACAAAGAAATGCCAGGCATAAGAAACAGCATGTGCAAAGGCCTGGAGGAAAGCCTGGCATATTCAGATGACAGTGAGTAATTTACCAAGCCTGAAGTATAAAGCTTTCCAGGACAGCAAAAGAAGAGTTTAGGCTATCCTGAAAGCAATGCAGAATGACTTGGAAAGGGAGTGACTGGTTTCAGAAGTAAAACCAGAGAGAGAAAAAGATAAACTTGATACAAGGATAGTGTATAATCTAGAAGGAAGATGATAGTGAGCTAACCAGACAATGGATCTACAAACAAAAAGTAGTAGTCAGGATCACAAAATATTTAGGAAAACAGACACTGGACTTGGTGATTAATTATGTGAGTTGGTGACCAGATTTATAAATGACATCCACAGTTGGGTTTAAGCAAATGAAATTGTCAGTACATTCATCCACTACTTCTAGTTAAAGCATTTTGGAGGACTTCATATGTGCTAAAAGCTAACTTTTTACATATATGAAATATTTTAATCTTAAGTACTACCAAGTCAGTCAGTCAGTCTCTCTCTCTCTCTCTCTCTCGTTATAGAACCAATAAGTGAGTTTTCAGAGCCAAAAACTCTAACTCCACAGCCTGAACTTCCATGTACTGATGAATTAATTCTCTAGCTTTTTATAGCCAGAATGAAAAATCTGATTCAGAACTTCAGAGAAAACTGACACAAAGGAATTGCATCTCACAAAATAAAGTCAGTGTAGTAAGCACAGGTTGAAAATTATGCACATCAAAGTTGCCTTTGATAGCCCATGTAAATCTTCTTTAAAAGATACTACATATGGTTTTTATATATAACCTTGTACAAACAGGTCCATTTATAAACATATAATTTATAAAGTTCACACCCTGAAAAGAAACTGAGACCAAATAGAGGAAGAGCAGATTGACACTCTGGGACATATGTTTGTTGAGCAAACAGAATTGTTCACTCTTATAAATTGCCGTTTTTCTTGCTTCTCCCACCACCATATAATAGAGCTTCCATAATTTAAATATGCTCTAATACATATTTTGAGACTTTCTCTAGTTAAAACATGGTCTCATCCATCTTTAAAAGATCATACCTATCTTTCACACTATTACCTTTAAAGTACTAGAGAAGTTAGCTTGCATACATTTGAATACCTGAATAAACTAAATTCTTTCCCTCCAAGACTTGTCCAAGCAAAAGGCATTCCGCTTGCCATTCAAACATCTTCTTTACACCAAAACTGTGATATTTCTCCAGAACTGCTTTAGGAAGTCCCCAGTTTGCCAATAGCAGCTTGTCTATTTGGTCATCAAGAACCGTTTGCTTGCATACCCCTTTCAGGAAAAAAAGAAACAATTCTTTAAGTTAGCCCTTCACTATGTGTTGGAATGAAGCTATAAAGCACATCCTGACTCCAAGACGTTTATGAGAAATTGAGCATGTATAGAAAAGTAAGAGTAAATTGTTATGTGCCTAATATTTTTTAATAAAAAATATTAAAGCCCCCAACAAACAAAAATTGTGCTATACACAATGGATAAGAAGCGCTGGAATTATGGGGGGTAAGGGGGAGGAGAGTGCGCCCGCGAGTGATATGTAAGCATTACAAAGCCGAGCTAAAGACGTTTCCATTTCAACAGAAAAGAACTGGACTAACATTCGCTGGGCACACAGTCAATGCCCGAAAACATTACAATTCCGTCCAAGGACTGCAGACCGCCTGCGCTCTACCCCAGACCCGGCAAATCCCACTTGAAGGGCTAGGGTGTGGCCAACGAGGAAGTGGTTTCTGTGCGGATCGGAAGACCCCGAGGCCACCTGAACGCCGGCCCCACGCGGTCGGTGGAAGCTCGCTGACCGCGCAGGAGTGACCCGCCTCCCGGGCCGCCGCGGGCCGTGCAGCGCAGGTCGGGCGCCGAGCACACTCCCGCCTCGCGGCCGGCGGGCTGCCCACCTCGCCCGTGGGCCCCAGAGGACCTGCGGTACCTGCACCTGCCGCCTTCAGGCTGCGTCCCAGGCCGGGGGGTGGACTCAGTACCGGCCCGGAAAGATGCAGAGAGCCGACACTGTTGTCACCGCCGCCTCCCGAGAGCGAGTCCGAGCCTGACGCTGAACGTCGCCGTTTTACACTCCGGCGCTGAAGATTCATGGCAAACTAGCCCTTCTCGGTAGTTCAGGGTAAGAAACAATCCCAGCGCCCTCCCACTCGCGAGATCCTGGGCCTGGTGACAGGTGTGGCGGCCATCTCCCCGCCACGAGCTTCAAACTCAGACCTCCCAGCCCGCCCCGGAACCATAGAGTTCTTGGTGGCGAGAGAAGCCCGAGAACCATAGAGTCGCGGGAAAGGAGTGGCTCGCGCCGGAGGCTCACTTCCGGCCCCCGTTGCTCGTTGTGGTCATATCAGGGTTAGTGCTAAATTAGTTAGAAGAGGAGAACGCCGAATTCAGTAATCTGCGTTTATAATCATACTGACCAAAAAAGCTATTTCTCTTTCTGTCTGTCCATTTCTGGCTTCAATAGAAAGATTATGCTAATTTAATAAAATGAGCGGCGCATAATTAAGAAAGTAGCTCTTCTTAACCTATTTATATTTTTTCAAAAATTATTCCAGGTTGTATGTGCAAAACCTTCTATCGGAAAACTTGGAGTTTCTGACAGAACATGATTTTCCCTTCTACTCGTGATGCAGGCGGGACGGTTTCTGTCCCTGACCTCTGTTTCAGGCGTCCTACACTGGGGAATCCTATGCCAAGCTGGACAGACCCACGATGTAGCTGTGAGAACACTGCAAGGAAGGGGCTCCAAAAGTACCCAGGCATCACACAGAGCCTAGAAATTAGTAATGGAGTTGTGATCTACCTTTTGACAAGGTAGATTTTGCACAATTCATTTTACCAAATAAACCTGGTAGATAATAGACCTGCCCTGAAGAGGCTGGTCTACTCTAGGGCACTGAAAAATCTCAAAAGAGGCAGCTCCCCCCGGCCCCACCACACACACACACACACAAACACACAAAATAATAAAATAATAATAATAATAATACAAGTCTGGGAACTTGAAAGTCAATTCTCTTGGGTAAACTCTAAAGGAAATTTAAATGACAGTACTCTAAATTTCCACGAGATGGGGACATTAGTCCATGAAAGAAACACCTCCTAGTTCTTTAATGGGTCTATTCACTCAACTATTGAGCCATCTTACTGTGTGCTAGGCATTTCACTGGCAGTGAGGTGGTGTGAAATGTTTCCTGCTTGGGAAGAGAAGGAGCCTAAAGATGGGAGACGTTGAACAAATAAATTAATAATTTTAACTTATGACTACTGCTCAGAGAGAAATGAATAGGACCCTATCAAAGAAATAAAAGGAGACGTAACTTAGACTGTGGTTGTGGAAGGGACAAGAACAAAGGCTGAGAGGTGAATGTTGAATTTAGAGGAGAAAAACAAAGACCCAAGGAGGACATTCTGAGTAAAAATGGATTGCAGAGAAAGATGTAGGAAATGAAATTAGGCAACCATTCAGAGGCCAGTGATGTCCCTTGGAGAATGAGGGAATGAGTTCACAACTTTCCAGGGCCAGCCTCTGACACTCAGGACTCTACTTTGTCACTTTCTACATCCAGATGGTTAGACAAGTGCAGGACTGTGTAAAGAAAGTTGTGGGCCCTTTGGGAATCATCAGACTTAACACTTGCTCTGACCATTTGGGTAGAACCCATACCCTCCTCCACCCAGTAACTTGGCAAGATACCCAGAATCACATTCCTATCCACTAACTTTTCAGAAAGCACTAGAATGACTTCAGTCATATACTTTAAGGGGAGGGTTGCCTTTGATTTTCATCTTTTCCCATTCCTTTGTCTTTGTGTGGCTTTATCTGTTCATCTTTGCCCTCACAGCCCAATCTCACTTTAATTGCTGCTTTCCCCACTTTTTCGGTCTGATCATTTTGTCTCTGTCCCTCTCTGTCAACTCTTTGCCTTTCTGCCTCTATCCCTTTTCCAGTTTTTTAAAGCTATTTATCTGTCTGCCTCTGTTTCCTAGGGCTTCTGTTTAGGCTGTTTTGTTGTTGTTTGTTTTTGAAACAGGGTCTTGCTATGTAATTCAGGCTGGCCTCAAACACAAGATCCTCCTGCCTCCACCCACCAAGTACTGGGATTACAGGTGTACACCACAGCACCTGGCTAAAATATCAGTAATTTTCTTTCCTTCCTTCCTTCTTTCCTTCCTTTTGTTCTGTTCTTCTTTAGTACTGAGGATCTAACCTTGCACCTCACACATGCTAAGCAAGTGCTCTACAACTGAGCCACATCCCCAGTCCCTAAGCTATTTTACTGTTTTCTCCCTCTGGTATGCTTTGAATATACTCTCCAAATTTCATGTGTTGGAAACTTAATCCCTAAATTCATATGTTGATGGTATTGGAGGTAGAGACTTTGGGAGGTAATTAGGATTAGATAAGGTCATTAGAATGGGGCATTAGTGTAGGGCATAATGGTGGCATTATTGCCCTAATAAGAAGAGGAAAGAGACACAAACTACAATGCTTATTGCGTTTCACTTTGTGATGACTTCGGTCATATTATGTTGCAGCATGAAGGCCCTCACCACATGCCAAGCAAATACAGGCCTCCAGAACACTGAGTCAAATAATATATTCCTTAAAAATTACCCAGTCTTTGGTATTTTACTATAGCAACGGAAAATGAACTAAGACACCCTCCTTCCATGTTCTCCTTCTCTGCTTCTGATTTTCTGCCTCTGATTTCCTGTCTCTGAATCCCATTGAACTCTTTCACTCTTCCAACTTCATGTTCTTGTGACTCATCTATACAGGATAGGAGTTTTAAGCCAGGTCTTTGCAATCAGGAAATTTTTGAAGTACAGTCTAGCTCTGCCACTTCATGGATATGATCCTTTATTTAGTTTTCTTTTGCTTTTTTTTTAAGTGGTAGTTCTGGGGATTGAATCTAGTAAAGAGACACTGCCTGAGGGCAGAGCTAGGCAGGCTCCTACGCTCTACTTTTAATGATCCCCAACAAAGGCTGAAACTGAAGGAGAAATGGAGAAAGAATCCAGCATATCTGATTTTAATTTTTTTCTCATTCTTAAAAAAAACACAAAGATAACATAGGAAGTGATCCTCAAGGAACCTCTGTTAGCAGTTTGCTTCCTTCTCTTTTTTTCTTTACTGATCTTTTTTGCTTACAAATACAATGCACATCCTTGTTTTTAAAAATTCTAATGAAATACCAGCTCTCAAGGGGCTAAAGCAGGAAAATGACAATTTTGAGGTCAGCCTGAACTACAATAGACTGTGCCTCAAAAAATAATAGACAAGTCATTTTATTCAATTTATTATTTAATGCTTCCCATTAAATTGGCAAGCTCTGGGGGTGGGGGGAGTGGAGCATGTATATATTTGGTTTGAAGGCATAGGTTCTAGAATAGCTTTGAGAAGACTGTAATAGGAAGCAACTACAGATATAATCATCCAGCAAAGACAGCATGGCTTGAATCACTGTGTTCACATTTAGCTTAGTTTATGGTGGGATCTTTTGTTCTTTAGAAGCTTTGAGTTTGAGGTTCTGTATTAATTTAACATTTCCTTACATGCTTTTAAATTTTTTGCGAAAGAGAAAAAAAGGAGAGTTCAAATCAGAGCTCAAGGGAACTATTTGGAAAAAGAAAAACTAAAAAAGATTGAGGGAGTTGACAAAAATGAGATATTAAGAGAAAAAAATCCAAAAGAAACAAATACCATGACAAACAGGAATGTATGACAGAGAAGAAACTGTATAGGCAGAATGAGTACAAGAAATCATAAGAAATTAAGACTGACAGAAATGAATAGAAATTGATGTTGATTTCTGGGTGTGGTGGCACATACATGTAATTATAGTACTCAGGAGGCTGAAGCAACAGGATCTCAAGTTTGAGGACAGCCTTGGATACATAGTGAGACCCTTTTAAGAAAGAGAGAGAGAGAAAGGAAAGAAAGAACGAACTTCTGGCTTATGGCAAAACATGTTGTAGCTCAGAAAGTTAAGAAAGTTAAGGAGATGACAGCAGCTGAAAAATATGAAGAATAGAATGAGAAGGTCTAATATAAATCCAATAGAAATTCCAGAAGTCATTAGAGATAATGAAAGAAAGACAATATTCAAGGAAAAATGGCTTAGAAATGTCCATGATTGAAGAATTCAAGTGTATTTAGATTAAAAGCATAAAAAGAGACATAGATAAGATAAAAAAAACAAATCATGCTTTTAAACTATGAAGAAAGCATAACTTTTTAAAGTAATTACAGCATAAAGATCACCTACAAAAAGGATAAGTTTGACTGTTAGCAGACTTCTTAAATAAATGAATTCATCTAACTTATCATCTAAGAATGACAGTGTAATAAAGATATTTTTAAGCAAAGTAAGTTTGAAAATATTTATAAGTAACAGACAAGCACTAAAGCTACTTAAGAAAAATCCTGTCAGAAAAAAATAAAACAGTTCCTCAAAAGAAAATGGATGAAAAAAGCAACGATGATCAAAGAACTTGATAAACACTGTCTAAATCTAAACAACTATGACAAAAAATAATAATGAGTACTTTTAAGGCATAAAAGCAAGTTTGATTCTCAAATAACAGGCAAAAGTAACATGAGACTGAATTTTAACTTTAATTCATTACTAAAAATCTGAAGAGCATTTTGTTTGGGAACAGCATAGAGAAATTGATTTTTTTAACTGTAAAAGTCAAGTATGTATGTTTAAAAATATTGCAACTTTAAATCTTGCATATAACTTATATAGCATTGTGGAGGAAAGCTAAAACACACACACACAACACCCCATACACAAATGATATAAAATAAGGAGGTAGAGCTGGGAATGGTGGCACACACTTTCATTAGGCCTGGGCTACACAGTGAGTTCCAGACCAGCCTGGGCTACAAGTGAGACTCTGCCTAAAAAAGAAAAGAAAAGGTAGTAGAACTAAATCCAAATACATTACTTACCATTATTCTACCAAATGGGCTGGGAGCGTGGTGGTGTGGTTCAAGTGGTAGTGAGCTCAGGCAAGCACAAAGCCCTAATAATACATACAAACATATATGTATATGTATATATATATATGTATGTATCAAACA